TTCAGAACCGTTATATGAAAGCGTTATTCATTGTTAAACAATGATTGTAACTGTATTCCATTGTTTCTGTCGGGATTCAGTAAATATTCATTGCATTGTATTTGGACAATGATTAGATGTCAGGAATGTAGTACTATTTAATGAAAGCAGTGGCGAGGAAGTTATTATATTTAGATGCTCGAATTATCTGTAAACATCCGGAATGAAACCCTCAGCGTCCACCGTGATGAAACCCTCAGCGTCCACCATGATGTAACCCTCAGCATCCACGAAGGCCATAACATTTCCCGCTCATGCGAAGTTCTTTGATGCTGGTGATGTAAAATGCTTCCAACATTTTCATTGTTGTTTAGCCAATGGGGAACCCAGGTTTCATTCATGGTTACAAATCATTGCATGAACCTTTCTGGTTCAGCATCAAACAGAGCTAGATTATCACGAGACATGTGCCTGATGCATTTTTTATCAGATGTCAGAAGGCGTGAAACACAATGGGCTGAGACTTTCTTCAATGCCAAAAGTTTCAGTGAGAATAGAACGAATCTCCGGTCAGTCGTCCCCATATCGTGGATTTATCTGGGCCAATTCTGGTGTTGCTGACGTGCCAAGCCTTCCAGGACGGGAGTCATCTTCATGACCCACCCTGTCATGTTTAAATCATGCTGCCCACCTCGTTTAAGATTCCTAATAAGTGTGGGAGTATGGTTTTACGCCGCTTTTAGCAATATTCCAGCAATATCACGGCGGGGGACACCAGAATTGGACGTCACACATTGTATCCACGGGGGAAATCGCACCCTTGTCTTCAGCGTGACGAGTGGGTGAGTATGGTTTTACGCCACTTTTAGCAATATTCCAGCAATATCACGGCGGGGGACACCAGAAAGGAGCTTCACACATTGTACCCATGTCGGGAATCGATCCCGGGTCTTCGGCGTGACGAGCGAACGCTTTAACTACTGGGCTACCCGACATCCCCTTCAGCGTGACGAGCGAACTCTATTACCACTAGGCTACCCAAACGCCCCAGCTTAATGTTGAAGAAAGCTCGAAGTGATGCAGATCATTGATGCTAACCACTTTGGTGAAACCCAAAAGCACGAGTTGGTGCTGACAAACCAAGAATCATACCCATGGCGAATCTCGGATTCGAACCCATGGTCATGGTCATGTTAAGTTCTCAGATTCCTAGATTTGATTGTAATGACTTGTTCCAGCTGTTCATTATGATTAACGTCAGGGATATATTATATCGCGGCGTGTCTGCTTGATGTGGGAGGAAAGTCCGAAGTGACGCAGATCGTAGTAGACGTTTACCACTTTGATGAAATCTACGAACAGGGTTTTACGGGTCTCTAGGGCCATTTGTATTTTTATCTATTTAGTTAGTATCTTGAAATTTCAATATGTTATGTTACAATTTCAAGATACTAACTTGAAATCTCAACTTAGTATCTTGAAGTTTCAACTTATGTATCTTTAAATTTCAAGTTACAATCTTCAAATTATGTATCTTGAAATTTGAAGTTATAACCTTCAAATTCACCATTATCTTGAAATTACAAGATGAATAAATGAATAAATAAAAAAACAAATGTCACTTAAAGGCGTCCGTAGGGTTTGGTGCTGACAAAGGTAGAAACATATTAAGGGCGAACAGGGATTCGAACTCACGACCGTATGTTTCAGGCACACATAAGGGACGCAACTCTGCACAACTCATTGCAGCACCTAAGAGGACAGATTTTTTGTGGGTCCCCTGCATGTTTTCACAAAGAAATATGTGAATTACACGTGTTTCCATTTTGTTAAGGCTTTGTATTTCAGATATTTAACAACTTGTCGACTTCTTGTAAAGGGTCCTGAGCCAGACATGTTCCCGTTCTAGTGGATAAAGCGCCTACCAGGGGAGCGGAAGGACAGTGGTTCGATCCCTATTCGAAAGAGGAGTCCAACTCAAGTCTAGAATGGTGAATAAAGGATGAATCTGTTTTCTGTTTGGATTTTTTATGTTTAGAAGATAGAGGTTTTTGAAATAAGAGAACCCTTTTAGGACTAAATGTCAGTCTAGGCTGGAACCATAAAACCAGCATCAGTACGGAGTAGTACAAGCAAGACACACCCAAACTCTCTCTCTCTCTCTCTCTCTCTCTCACACACACACACACACACACACACACACACACACACACTCAAACGCAGAGGCACGGTGTTATATAAGTGCAATAATCTTGAACGAGACCCATTTCACATTAATTCAGAACGAAACAAGATTACATCAGCTCTCATAGAAATGAAAATTCCCACTGGCTAAATATAGACGGTGGCTTTATTCCTTAGTGGAAATGGCGATTACGTCGTAAATCGACCCGTGAAGATCCTGCGTAGAATAGGTCGTCAGCAACCCATGCTTGCCGTAAAAGGTGACTGTGCTTGTAAGAGGCGACTAACGACATCGGTTGGTCAGGCTCGCTGACTTGGTTGATGCATGTTATCGTATCCCAATTGAGTGGTTTGATGCTCCTGATGTCAATCAATTGGTTGTCTGGTCCAATAATATTTCTCTCGTTTGAAGAATGAATAAGATAGAAATTATTTTCTCTTAGCGGTATGTCAATCAAGGTGATTATGTGCCCCTATAGGGGTGGCGTGATTAAGGGGGTATATAAGGGGTAGTACAATTTTGAATTGTTCTCTCTCGCTCACTGTGCATGCACGGCCTCACACTTGTTTCTGATATTTATTTGATGAACATGTATATTAAATTTGGTTCTTCATTTTATGATTTAATGATTTCATGTGTTGCAGATAGTCGTTGAAATGGAATACACATTTGATGGTAATGTGTACTGTTGTAAGTGATGCCATTGCTTGGCTGGCGAGTCTTTACAATACAGCGTTGCTTCATTGAGAAAGTCCATTGTTGGATGCAGTGATGTTGCTTGGCCGGCGGGCCTTTATAATACAGCGTTGTTTTATTGTGAAAGTGTGCATTGTTGGATGCAATGATATTGCTTGGACGGCGGGCCTTTATAATACAGCGTTACTTTATTGTGAAAGTGTGCATTGTTGGATGCAATGATATTGCTTGGACGGCGGGCCTTTATAATACAGCGTTACTTTATTGTGAAAGTGTGCATTGTTGGATGCAATGATATTGCTTGGCCGGCGGGCCTTTATAATACAGTGTTGCTTTTGATAATACTGCATATACTATGCGAGTTGCACTGTATGTAATAAATTATGAAATTCATTTGTAACATATGTTCATGAATTGTTAGTATTTCTGTTTGGAATTGCATATACATGTCATGAGTATGCTGTATACCCTCCAGTATTTGCTGCTGCATCCGTTGAGGGAACACGGTTCCAGATGTTTTCTTATAAAAGTTTTTATATCTGGTTTTACGTGTCGGGCTTCAGCAAAATATAAATATTCATAGCAGATTGCTGACAATGTATATACAAATGTGTATTCAATTAATATCTTTGTTTTATACTATACGCAAATAAATCGGCCGTGTATCACACAGCGTATTCCAATGTTAATGGCGTTGTGTCTTGATTAAGTATGTAGGGGATAAGGAGAAGACTTGATTATTTACAGACCGCCGTCATTTAGCAGGACTATTGCTGAGTGCGGCGTTAAACAACAAACAAAAACAAAACAATTTCACTTCTGCATTGCTTCCGGAAGTATTATTTAGGTTGAGGAATAATCCGAGTGCTGAGTGCTGTGACATGACCTTGGACTCGCCTACCAAGGAGTCCTAGCGGTTAACTGAGACTAAAGCCATAACTGCTCTGTCGACGCATGCCTATCGCTGGACAATGCCTTGTATTGAACAAACTAGAGTCATAGTGACCTCTTCGACACAACTTAACCGTTCGATTTCCATTTGCCACTAAATACCACCCAAAACGGGGATTTATCTGGACCTGCTCCGACATTCGGTACCCAGTGAAGATCTGGGTTAGAATTGATCTTCAGCAACCAATGCATGTAGTAGGTTAGGTGAAATGGGATTTAACGTCGCGTCCAAGATTATAATTATAGCGGCGCGCATGCACGTGTGTGCGTGCGTGCGTGCGTGCGGGTAGCTGCTCGTACTAGTCCGGACTAATGCCGATTTATAGTGCCAGCTCACTGAGATACCAAGCCGCAGTTTAACATGAACACCCTAATCAGAGACAGTATACTGACTCCGAGCCGACAAGTCCTTGTTTTCACCCCTTAATGCCAAGCGCCAGACAGGGTAACAACAAGTACCATCTTTTAACGGCTTTGGTATGACGCGGTCGGGGATCGAACCCCAGACCTTCCGCTCTCCGGGCGGACGCTCTACCGCTAGTCCACGGAGGCGGTCTGCTTGTAGTAAGAGGTGAAACAACAAACAAACAAAAAGATATTCGGCCCCAAATCTGCAGTAATGTCAGTTCAAATTCCAAAATGGAATTAAACACACCCGAATACCTGTTATTGTGGTGATAATTAATGATATGGTTTGAGAATAATACATAAATAAAAACGACCATAATCATGTCAGTGTCCCGTCTGTATCATAAACATGTTAACAAAGGGGTTTTGTATTTCACTGATAACTGGGAGAGCTGTAGAAGTCTGAAGGCTTTAATTATATAATATTGCATGAAATGTTAAAACAGGTATTGATTTAAACATGACACGGACTGTAATTATCCCAATTTTCAAAAATATAATGATTCTTTGTAATCTGCCTGCCAAGGGCAGTTAGTTCAGAATTCTCGATAAATCCTGCCCAGTTTGAATTCACATGCTTTCTCCTGATGTTAATGGTCCACAAGTGGTTTACTGACCTTTATCTCAAGGGTCTGGGCGACAGAGCACTCCAGCAGCCACAGAGAGCCCTGGCTGTTTGCCTCTTCTATAAATAGCTGTTTTCTGGCGATGGGTTATTCCCCGAGAATTGTTGAATGTGGGAAAACCAGTCGCGTGTTGGAAATCTGGATTTCCAGGAAATCGTAGCAGCGTTTATAAAGTCGCATGTGTTTCACGTGATATTTCTCATTTTCCTAGCTTCACAACAGACCGTAAGTACACTCACTCGCTACCAAATAGTTATTTTATTTGCGTGGGGAGAAAATGTTACAGTATTATGTTCAGTATTACGTTTATGATGCCTGTTTAAATGGAGAGGTGTGTTTTGATGGGAATTAGGGGTTCAACGCACTCAAGGTTATATAGCAACGTGCATGCACATGTATGTGTGTGGCTCTTTGTACAATACGACATAATCCACAATTTGCCAATCAAAAACCACTAAGTCTAGAATGTAGACAAGAGAAACGAGAAACACGTAGGGCACTTAGGAGATTTAGAACACAAAGAACAGTCGCTAACAGAATTGTGTACTGTAGACAAAGAAATCATTATAAATTTTGTTGCAGAAAATTTAAATCCATTTCACGTAAGAAATCAGTTGAAAGATTGCATAGAAGCATAAATAGTCAATCTAGCTTTTGGAAACAGATAAGATCATCACAAAACAAACCCAGACAGAAGAATCATATAACGAAAGGAGAATGGCTTTGCCATTTTAGAGAGGTTTTTGCAAATGACGATGTTTTTTCTCCTCACTTAGATGATGAAAATGTACTCAGTTCTAATCAGTTTACAGATATTGATGCATTCATACTAAATTCTACGATAACTGAACATGAAATTACATCATCAATAAATAAGTTAAAAAAAGGAAAAACCGCCGGGCCCGATCAAGTGCTGATAGAAATGCTTAAATGTTCCCAATTGGATATTATGCCATTTCTTCATATTAAATGTTTCAACAAACTCTTTGATAATCAAATATTTCCAAACAGTTGGTCTTGTTCAGAAATAGTCCCTCTACATAAAAAAAGGCGATCCGAGAAACCCTGACAACTACAGGGGGATCTCATTAATGAGTGTTCTGGGGAAAAATTTTACCTCTGTTTTGAATAACAGGCTTACTAACTGGGCGAATATGAGAGATAAGATACCGGAAGATCAAGCTGGTTTTAGAAAAAAATATTCAACCATAGATCATATTTTTACATTATATGCTGCAATTAAAAAATGTCTAACACGTCGTAAACACAAGGTTTACGTTGCTTTTATTGATTTTAAAAAGGCATTTGATACACTTGATCGTTATAAATTATGGTGTTGTTTAAGAAAAGCTGGACTACAAGGGAAGATGTTTAATATACTACAATCAATGTATTCAAATATCAAGTCATGTGTACGTAGTGATGATGGTGTTACTGATTTTATCGATTGCCCATCTGGTTTACGTCAGGGATGTATACTGAGTCCTCTGTTATTTTCGTTTTTCATTAGCGAATTATATTATGAAATCTCAAGTAACGGCAAGCATGGTATACAGATGTATCCTGACATCCTTGAACTTCTTATGCTCCTTTTTGCCGATGATGTTATTTTTCTATCTGACACTGTTATTGGTCTACAGAATCAGTTGAATGTATTAGATAAATATACTAAGGAATGGAATTTATCTGTAAATTTAGATAAGACAGAAATTATAGTATTCAGAAAAGGGGGTCCTTTAAATTTTAGGGAAAGATGGTACTTAAATGGACAACAAATTAATGTAGTTAACGGTTATAAGTATCTCGGCATAATGTTTAATTCAACACTAAATATGAACAAATGTGTATCTGACTTATCACTGCGAGGGAAACGAGCTTTACTTAATATGATGTCTGTTTCACATAAACTTGGAGTTATTACTCCAAAAGTATTTTTCAAATTATTTGATACTCAAATACAGCCAATTTTATTGTATGGATCTGAAGTGTGGGGTTACCGAAGATATGAATGTTTAGAAAGAATTCACCTACTGGCATGTAAAAAGTTTCTTCGCGTTGGAATAGCAACACCAAATAACATGATATATGGAGAATGTGGAAGATACCCACTTTACATTAATTCACAAATAAAGTGTTTAAAATATTGGTTTAATATCATCCGTATGCCAGAACATCGGCTTCCGAAAAAAGCTTATAACATGCTCTTTCATTTAGATAGTATCGGTAAGGTTACATGGGTATCTCATATTAGGACACTATTATTCTCACATGGATATGGGTATATATGGCTTAACCAATCTGTTGGTGATCAACGTTTATTTCTAAATGATTTTCGTAAAATAGCAATAAATATGTTCTATCAAGAGTGGCAATGCAACTTGGAAAACAGTTCACGTTATGATTTGTACAGAACATTTAAGACTCTATTAGAGCCAGAAAAATATCTATCAGTTTTAACAAATAGTCACCTAAGAAATGGATATATTAAATACAGACTTGGCTTGTCAAAACTTATGATTAACTATGGACGGAATATATCACTTGAAAGAATACAAAGAATTTGTCCATTCTGTAACTCTGCAATAGAAGACGAAATACATTTTACCTTTGAATGTCCTTATTATGCCGAATTACGTACTAAATATATACCAGAATGTTTCTTATCTAAGACGAGTAGAATAGCGTTTGTTTCTATTTTGTCATCGAATGATGCCGATGTAATGTTTAAACTGTCTTTATTTGTAAAACATGGGATGGAACTACGAAATAACATGTTGAGTGGAAATTCATAATTTTAATTACCTCACCCTAGAAAGTCCTCATGATTATCACCGATTGTTAAATGAATGTTATATTTATATAATTTTTGTTGTATCTCCCAATCTGTAAATTCTCACCCACTGTATTTATCTGAACTTGTATTTGGGCCGATGGCCTTTGATACAATAAACGTCATTGACTTGACTTTGACTACTCGTCCGGATTTATGCCATCTTCCCGAGGCAAGGGCGTTAATTTGGCAAGGGTGGAAACTGAACTTTCATAGTCAGTTAACGCCCAAGCCTCGTGAAGATGGATTTTTGCCTGTTTCATAAATAAGTATGATACCATGCATTAGTTTGATATTGATACCCCAACTCAGACACAGAAAACTGACCCCCTGCCACTATCTTTATCTAACTCATGCCTGGGGAAGGAGGTGTGTATGTAGAGGCAGGGTGTGTGTAATATCTATGCAGAGGCAGTGTGTGTATGTAGAGGGAGGGTGTGTGCATGTAGAGGCAGGGTGTGTGTATGTAGAGGGAGGTAGTGTGCATGTAGTGGCAGGGTATATGCATGTAGGGGCAGGGTATATGTATGAAGAGGCAGGGTATATGCATGTAGAGGCAGGGTATATGTATGTAGAGGCAGGGTATATGTATGTTGAGGCAGGCTGTGTGTATGTAGAGGCAGGGTGTATGTATGTAGAGGCAGGGTGTGTGTATGTAGGGACAGGGTGTATGTATGTAGAGGCAGGGTGTGTGTATGTGAGGCGGGGTGTATGTATGTAGAGGCAGAGTATATGTATGTAGGGACAGGGTGTATGTATGTAGAGGCAGGGTATATGTATGTAGAGGCAGGGTGTGTGTATGTAGAGGCAGGGTGTGTGTATGTGAGGCGGGGTATATGTATGTAGAGGCAGAGTATATGTATGTAGGGACAGGGTGTATGTATGTAGAGGCAGGGTATATGTATGTAGAGGCAGGGTATATGTATGTAGGGACAGGGTGTATGTATGTAGAGGCATGGTATAAGTATGTAGAGACAGGGTATATGTATGTAGAGGCATGGTATGTGTATGTAGAGGCAGGGTGTATGTATGTAGAGGCAGGGTATATGTATGTAGAGGCAGGGTGTATGTATGTAGAGGCAGGGTATATGTATGTAGAGGCATGGTATGTGTATGTAGGGACAGGGTGTATGTATGTAGAGGCAGGGTGTATGTATGTAGAGGCAGGGTGTGTGTATGTGAGGCGGGGTATATGTATGTAGAGGCAGAGTATATGTATGTAGGGACAGGGTGTATGTATGTAGAGGCAGGGTATATGTATGTAGAGGCATGGTATATGTATGTAGGGACAGGGTATATGTATGTAGAGGCATGGTATAAGTATGTAGAGACAGGGTATATGTATGTAGAGGCATGGTATGTGTATGTAGAGGCAGGGTGTATGTATGTAGAGGCAGGGTATATGTATGTAGAGGTAGAGGCAGGGTATATGTATGTAGAGGCAGGGTATATGTATGTAGGGGCAGGGTATATGTATGTAGAGGCAGGGTGTGTGTATGTAGGGGCAGGGTGTATGTATGTAGAGGCAGGGTATATGTATGTAGAGGCAGGGTATAGGTATGTAGGGACAGGGTATATGTATGTAGAGGCATGGTATATGTATGTAGAGGCAGTGTATACGTACATGTATGTAGAGGCATCGTATATGTATGTAGAGGCAGGGTGTATGTATGTAGAGGCAGGGTATATGTATTCTAGAGGTAGAGGCAGGGTATATGTATGTAGAGGCAGGGTATATGTATGTAGGGGCATGGTGTATGTATGTAGGGACAGGGTATATGTATGTGATGGCAGGGTATATGTATGTAGGGGCAGGGTATATGTATGTAGAGGCATGGTATATGTATGTAGAGGCAGGATGTATGTAAGTAGAGGCAGGGTATATGTATGTAGAGGCATGGTATATGTATGTAGGGACAGGGTATATGTATGTAGAGGCAGGGTGTATGTATGTAGAGGCAGGGTATATATATGTAGATGTAGAGGCAGGGTATTTTTTTTGTATTTTCTGAATATATCAAAATGGATATGTTGTATTCTGAGACTATTTGTCCAGCCAGCCAGCATCACGAAACCAATCTTGTGTTTCTGCGTTATGCGAATGGTAATACAAGAATTAAAAGATTCCTGCGTCCATGTTGCCTGTTGCAGAAAGACAATGTCACCTTTGAAATAATTGTGAAAAGTTGTTTCAGGCCTTTTACTGGCAAAGTCACAAAATGGAATGAGGATATCCTGCAATATACGTAGGCTGTATGGGGAAATCTGTTGGCACTTGCCTTGTATATGCCAAGGTCAAGGTGAGGAGAACTCACAACGCTCAGTGAGATCTTTTCTTTCTCAAACTTTTAAAAGCTGTTATTATCAAACCTCTCAGAACAGGTCTTGTTTAGTATTTGATCAAGATAAGTCCAAGGTGAAGGTCAATTTTAAAAACATGACCATATCATTTGTCAGTTCCTTAGGCATTTGGAAGTATGCCTGCATCTGAATAAATTCTACCATATCACATGTCGTTGCATGTTTTCCACAGGTCATAGTCATCTTCAGGCCAATGTAGAAAGTGGTTTATTATTCGTTGCCAGTTACTGTTTATTTAAAAATTCTTTTGGGTTGGAGTTTTATAGCCAGATCTTTGTGTCCCTTGCAGTAATCGTAATTATTCATAGTATCTTATCTCAGCTAACACAGCTTCGTTTTAAGCCTGATTCAAATCACAGGAAAGCCATTGATAATCGTCCAATTAAATTACACTCATGAGCGAGTAGTCATGATCGTAGCGATATAAGCAATTGAGATGTTGACGTCACTTCCTAAGCAAAGCAATGGTGGGGAACCAACGCCAGTGGTCGATGACATAAGTAAAACCTCTCCGTGTAGGTATGACAACAACAACAACCAGCAAGAAAAAAGCAAACTGTAAACAACAACTGAAACTTCATTCAGCTCCTTCCGCATTTTTCAGAAGATGGTGATGGTATCATTTGGAGGATGTGAGCGACATTTGCCCAGTTTGGTCGTGTCCCAGTTCCAGACAGGTATCCAGTTCATTGACAAACTGATGACTGCACCACAGGTTGGAGATTACAATTTTAAACAACATGTAGAAAATGCTAGTGCAGCTTTTTCAAAGGCTGAAAGTGAGTTAGAAAACCATATCCGTCGTCAAACCAGAAAGTGTCAGGAAGAGGAAGCAGAACTATCAAACATGCAGAGGAGACACCAAGAAATTCTTAAATCTCTGGCAAGCTTGAATGACTCACTGGGGACATTATCAAAAACACTCACGGAACTGAGAAAGAAGGTTGAAAGTGCTCAAAAGGATGTGGAGGAATCGAAGAAAAGTGTCGCAAAGGCAAGGATGCAGTACGAACACGCCAGTGTAACTAGAGAAGCAGTTCGGGGGGCAGGAATTGCGACGAGTTGGATACCTTTTGTCGGATCCACACTCTTGGAAGTTTCTGAGATGACACTCAAAGAACATGTTGACAATGCAGAATATTGCCTTGACTCAGCCAAATCAGCTTTATCCAGTGCTGAAGACACTGTATGTGAGATTGCAAAAGCTCGTGAAAATGCTCAAGGTGATATCAAGAGACGTGAAAAAGAAAAGATTAAAATGGAAGAAGAAATGAAGTTGACTCAGAAGACTATTTCTACATACAGGAAGGACATTAACGAGCAAAATCGAACCTTAACAGCGTTGAGGAAGGTGATGACTCGTCTGGGTAAAGTGTCGGGACGAGCAGAGGTACTGACAGATGCCACAGTCATCTTGCATGATATAGCAGAGATCGGGATACCTCTTAAAAGTTTGCTTGACAGTTTTGAGGAGTTCATTACGCAACCAGATCTCTGGAAGAAGGTGCTTTCTCGTCCTGAATTTCTGGCCGTTTGCGATGATGACGATGGAGACTGGTGAATGAAAACAGAAATGATACCTTGACAGTGTTGCTAAGATTGTTGTCTCCATCACGTGAAGAGGTTCTTAAAGTGTTTGCTGATCAGGTTTTATTTGAGAACGATTGGCATTCGATTCATGTCAATGATTTGTTGAAACTTATAACTGTTAAGTGGGTTTTTATTGAGAATGCTTGACAGTAGATTGATGTAGATATTGTGCCTTGGAACACTGACAAATTGGTCTATAATTGTTTGATTTCTCAGCCAGGCCTTAAATTCCATCCACTCTGTTAAATATTTATCAGCCCTCTATGAAATGTAATAGATAAACTTGCCCATTCATAAAACAATTCCGTGCTTTTTTATGATGAGGATATTGGAGAGTTGTATTTCTTCACTAAGACTGCCAGACTTCCATGGAAGGAACTAAATTGGAAGTGATGTCACTCGCTTATCGCTTGGGTGAGATCAAGCGATATCCCCATTATAGATATCACTGCAATAAAATTGCATCACAATGCTTTGCAGACCATTGTGACGTCATTGGTTACCATGACGTCACAATCAACATCACTAATGGCTCTGCTACTGAACCTGTGAGCAGTACTTTTTACACTTAAGACACTGCTTATAACTGTTTTCTAACTGAAACAGTTGAAGAATGATGTTGGATGGTAAATTAAATCTCACCCTTGTGTCTTTTCAAATCAAATATATCTACACTCTTTGATAAGAGTGGAAAAACTCCTCGGCAAGTCTAAGAGTTCTTCCACTTTTATCAACTCGTGTTGATATAATTGATACCAAAGACCCTCGGGTAAGATTCTCTATAGTTTTTCTGTTATTTCGGAAAATATCACAAGGATGATATAATATTCTGAGGCTATAGCAACTCATCTTGTGTATGATGTATTATTAAAATAAATATTATCTGCCTATGTTGCCAATTGGCAAAGGTCAAGGTCACCTGAGTTGTTTCATACTTTCTTTTGACAACAAAGCATTGTGAAATTAGGATATCCAGCAATGGATTTATGAAGTATAGGCTTGAGGAATTCTTACGACACATGCCATACAAATGTCAAATGTCAAGGTCAGGCGATCCAGTGACATTATTTTCTTTTCCTTTTTTCTTGAAAGGTTTTTGGCCAAGATAAGTCAAAGGTAACGGTCAACGTTTGTAATTATGGAATATTGTATTAGTCGTTGCCAGTTGCTGCTGCAATTTTTTTTGAGACATCCTTAGACTTGGTAATTTTGCAACTTGAAAACATATGTTGATGTAGGTCAAGGTCGAGAAGTCATTTTTACTGACTGGAATAGTATGGTGGTCTGTTATACTTTAGGTGTTTTGATAAAATGGCATGAGGGTGGCTGCCTCTAGTGTCCTTATTTGCTGCTTGTGTTCATGAGATGTCCAATGTGTAGAATAGGTTGAAAGTACCAAGTGCCTGCTGTACGGACTTATAAAGGGATCAGGTGGATACAATGTACTTCTCACTGAGTGTGTCATCGTAGCTGGTCATGTATGGGGCGTTGCTCACTCATGATAACATAATGTGATTTGCCTGTCTAATACTGATTATTGTGAGGTGATATTGATATAAGGTTTTAACGAGAAGGTGAGCGTGTCATAAATCCACCAGTGGCACCTGTCAAAATTACAGTAAAAGCAAAAAGTCACTCGACAATTTCTTTTGAAAGCTTAACTTAGGTTTTGATTGCCGTAACCCTGATCAAACAAGTTTTGAGCATTAGTCGTTTGATGCTCTCTCAAATCTTCGTAGAAAGATATGTCAGCAAGGAAAACCAGTAATATCGGTCAATGATAATTAGGTTTAAAGTCAAATAACCCGATTTAAAATGATGGTCTAGTAATCGAGTCTGGAGGGTAACCTTGACAAACATTGATTAGAATCTGTCTAAGTTAGCTCTGTGTTGCGTTCCTTGGGCGTGCCAGAAATCTATGTTCTTGGGTCCGAATCCCAGATACACCATTATTATGTTTCTAGGTGATTGGAGGATTAGCCAAACTCACTCACTGTATAAACATATGTTAACGGTAATAATTCGATCAATTGGTTGGTAGTACCGTAATTGTGGCAAAGAAGAAACTACTACTCTCTTCACTAAAACACTTGGTGCAGCCCAGTGGTTAACGTATGTAACATCGTCATGCTGAAGACTTATGTTCGATTTCCCGCCTGGTTACATGTAAAGCCTATTCTTTGTGCCTAATAGCCTAGACCTGATGCCGAAAATGCTGGAGAAAATGATTTCTCCTCAGGTTTTCCAAAAACAATCCTGGATGTTCTGGAAAATAGTGGTTTGTGGGTCAACAGTGTATTGGATCCTCTGTTATCACATCCTTTTTGTCGAGTCTGGTCACAGCAGCAGAGATCGATAGCATACGTAACAACGTTAAACCTCGACGTAGGGGTATGGCAACATCATCCATCTACATATTGTAACTAAATAACTGATTCTCATTTTAATACAGTCCTGTGAACTGTGGACCGTTTCAACTCTGAAATTCTTCTGAAACATGTGCATGTGCATGTGCATGAGTTAGAGTTATGAAAGAACCACAACCACAACTGAAAATTCATTCAGCTCCTCCTTTTCAGAAGATGGCGATGGTATCTTTTGGAGGATGTGAGCGACGTGTGCCCAGTTTGGTCGTGTCGCAGTTCCAGATGGGTCTCCAGTTCATTGACAAACTAATGGCTGGATTACAGGTGACCCAGTTCAAGACTGGTATCCAATTCATTGACAAACTAATTGCTGCACTGCAGTTTAGATATTACAATGTCAAACGAAACATAGAAAATGCTAGTGTGGCTTTCTCAAAGGCTGAAAGTGAGTTAGAAAACCATATCCGTCATCAAACCAGAAAGTGTCGGGAAGAGGAAGCAGAACTATCAAACATGCAGAGGAGACGCCAAGAAATTCTTAAATCTCTGGCAGGCTTGAAAGATTCACTGGAGTCTATGTCCAAAATACTCGAGGAACAGAGAAAGAAGGTTCGAAATGCTCAGTCAGATGTGAAAGATTCTGAGATACGTGTCCGAAAGGCACAATCTGACTACGAAGACGCCATCGCAACTAGAAACGGGGTTCGGGTAGCAGGATGGGCGACGATATGGATACCTTTCGTCGGAGCATCACTCTTGTTAGTTTCTGAAACAGCACTCAACGATTGTGTTGATAATGCAGAACATTGCCTTGACTCCACTAAGTCCGATTTATCCAGTGCTGAAGACACTCTATGTGAGATGGCAAAAGCTCGTGAAAATACTCAAGACAATATCAAGCGACGTAAAATGGAAAAGACCAAAATGGAAGACAAAATGGAGGAGACTCAGAAGAATATTTCTACATACAGGAAGGACATTAACGAGCAAAATCGAACCTTGACAGCGTTGAGGAAGGTGATGACTCGTCTGGGTAAAGTGTCGGGACGAGCAGAGGTACTAAATGATGCCACAGTCATCATGCATGATATAGCAGAGATCGGGATACCTCTTAAGAGTTTGCTTGACAGTTTTGAGGAGTTCATTACGCAACCAGATCTCTGGAAGAAGGTGCTTTCTCGTCCAGTTTTTCTGGCCGTTTGCGATGATGACGATGGAGACTGGTGAATGAAAACAGAAATGATACCTTGACAATGTTGCTAAGATTGTTGTCTCCATCACGTGAAGAGGATTATCAAGTTCTTAATGATTCTTGATCAGGTTTTATTTGAGAACGATCGGCATTGGATTCATGTAGATCAGTGTCAATGTATGTTTGGACTCTGACGAATAAGCCGTCTGTTATGTTTTGTGTGTTTCCCGTCTCCAGGCGGGCCTAAAATACTTTTGCCCGCTTGGCCATTAATCTTTCCGTTCTGACAAGCAATAGACGAATTTCCCATTCATAAATAGATTTTGTACTCTACTTTTTTATCTTGAGAATAATCGAGTGTGGAAATATATCAGGCTTTTTCCTCTTTCTCCCCCCTTTTCCGTCTTCAAAGCTTTGACGACGACACAGCATTCGTTGTAATTCGATCGTAGACCAAGTAACGATGCACTCTTGGTAAAAATTAGTGAAAAAGTTATGACCAGTTTTGAATCCTTGATATCAATAATTCAAATTGAATTATTTGATAGGCATTACTTAGAAGTTGACGGGTGATAAAGTAGACACAATTTATTGATAAGTACTAAGAGCCAACGGCAGAAACGCAACCAAACGCCAAGAACCTAAAGATGTAGTTTATAGATTTGACTGTGGACAAGCATTGGTGTGGTGCAACTGTGGTAAAACATTCCGCCCCATGAACACCGGAATCAAAGAGCACAAAGCTTCAACCATCAAATCAGACAGTAAATCAGCCATCTTGGACCATATCAGCAACTCCCTCAATCACAACATCAACCGGGAAAACGTTTAATTCCTCTCTAACAACCTCAATGATTTCATCAAAAGAAAACTAACTGAAGCAGTCCACATTCGCCACCACAAGCAACCAATCAACAGAGATCCAGGCTATTTCATCCTATCCGCCTACTATGAACTCACTGAGCAATAATCTCCATCTCCATGTAAACCTATCCTGTTTAATTAGCTTCCTGACTGATGGGCTTCCACCTCGTCTGTTCTCTGTCTATCAAGTTGTTATAGTATGTTATCCTTCTGTTGTCATTACTTAACCTACTCATGTTATCCCCACTCATGGATGCATTTGTTCTCTGTCCATAAAGTTGTTATAGTATGTTATCCTTCTGTTGTCATTACTTAACCTACTCATGTTATCCCCACTCATGGATGCATTTGTTCTCTGTCCATCAAGTTGTTATAGTATGTTATCCTTCTGTTGTCATTACTTAACCTACTCATGTTATCCCCACTCATGTTATCCCCACTCATGGATGCATTTGTTCTCTGTCCATCAAGTTGTTTTAGTATGTTATCCTTCTGTTGTCATTACTTAACCTACTCATGTTATCCCCACTCATGTTATCCCCACTCATGGATGCATTTGTTCTCTGTCCATCAAGTTGTTTTAGTATGTTATCCTTCTGTTGTCAGTACTTCACCTACTCATGTTATCCCCACTCATGTTATCCCCACTCATGGATGCATTTGTTCTCTGTCCATCAAGTTGTTTTAGTATGTTATCCTTCTGTTGTCATTACTTAACCTACTCATGTTATCCCCACTCATGTTATCCCCACTCATGGATGCATTTGTTCTCTGTCCATCAAGTTGTTTTAGTATGTTATCCTTCTGTTGTCAGTACTTCACCTACTCATGTTATCCCCACTCATGTTATCCCGACCTATGGATGCATTTGTTCTCTGTCCATCAAGTTGTTTTAGTATGTTATCCTTCTGTTGTCATTACTTAACCTAGTCATGTTATCCCCACTCATGTTATCCCCACTCATGGATGCATTTGTTCTCTGTCCATCAAGTTGTTTTAGTATGTTATCCTTCTGTTGTCAGTACTTCACCTACTCATGTTATCCCCACTCATGTTATCCCCACTCATGGATGCATTTGTTCTCTGTCCATCAAGTTGTTTTAGTATGTTATCCTTCTGTTGTCATTACTTAACCTACTCATGTTATCCCCACTCAAGGATGCATTTGTTGTTACTGTTAATCCTCCACCTACTATATATATTCTGTACCATCTTCATCTTACAGTCTTGCATGACAACTGTATAAGGGTCTATTCCGAAATGTCTCCTTTACAGTAATTAAAGAAGTTGTTTTCCATACATTTTGTCTACTTTTAATAATTCAAATTGTCAACCAACTAACACCCAACCAAAAGAAAGTTTTAATGTAGTTGTGTAGTTTCCTTCACTGACTCCCCTGATCAAACAGAGGAAGCAATGGTAAGTGTAGTCAAATACCTTATTGCCCTAGTCGCAAAACATGACATTAGATCATCAAGTAAATGTCACTCTATCAAAAACAAAAACTCATATGTTTTGTCAGACATTTAATGCAAGGTACGATCTTTATAAAAGTGCTACATTATATGGGAATAGATCAATTTTTTTTCTGTTTTATAAACTGAAGGTGTTAAAACAATTGACGATGTGACGTATTGGTTCATCTTGTGAGTGACATATGCAGTTGTTGTACTCCCGAATAGGAAGTAACATCATCAGACCGGAAGTGCTTAGAACTTCCTTTGGCTGGACAAAGTGAATGGACAGTCTGACGTTAAATTATATCACAAGAACATGTACTTTCCAAGACCAGATGTCAACAGATCGGAAGGTTTTTCGTTTCCTTATGGGGCTAGTTACTCTTTAATCTTTTTGAAATATCTGCATAAAACACGAGTCTCACATGGCTTCGATACCACCGATGGCTAGTGGATAGAGCGTCCGCCTGGAGAGCGGAGAGTCGGGAGTTCGATCCCCGGCCCCTTCCTGTCGCTTGGCATGAAGGGGATAAAACGAGGACTGGTCGGCTCGGAGTCTGTACACTGTGTCTGAGTGGGTTATTCGTGTTAAATTGCGGCATGGTATCTCAGCGGGCTAGCACTGTACCATAGGCATTAGTTTTGAAGCCAGTAGACGGCAAATGATGAACGTGTTTTCACGATTTGATATAACATATCAGCCGAATCATACATAGTAACCATGAGATCGAAATTAAAGTGAGCTCTACAAGCGCACCATTCAAGCTGAGTCGCTTCATATGAGTGAATGTTGTGTTGAGCCACGACGAGTTCAATGATGAACAGTTTTGTCAGTTATGCAAAAACGCGTCAGGGAGGATAACCCGAAGTGATGCAGTAATCAGAATTTTCTTTTTAACACGAAGCCAAGTAATGTTTCCAGTAATTTCGGAGCCTATATATTATATTATGTAAAGCTGACATCAGGTACTCGTACGTGGTTGAAGTTGCCTCAATGTCAGGCAGTATTATGGGCCACACAAATATGCATGGAGTAGGGCTCCTTAGCTTTCTCAAACTAATCACATGTTACTACTATGTATACATCACAAATCGGCCGTATGTGAGAGCCGGAGGAAAATGTATGCAAATGTATGCAAACGTATGACTTATCGACATAGTCACTGTACACTGTACATCATGGCGGATGTCAGCAAGAGGACGATTGCCAAGGCAGAGAAAGACCTGATGAGCCCGAAAGATGCTAAGGTACTGTATGCCAAAAGAACACGAAACAGGATTTTTGTTTGTTGTTGATCTCTCGCTCAGCAATATTACAGCTGTATGGAGGCGGCTTGTACATAATCGACTTTGGATCAGACAATCCAGTGAGTGATATTGTGAACAACGATCCACCCCGTCGGGGTGGTTGACACGAAATCTACCAAGTCATCAAGCTTGACTACCCGATCCCTTAAGTCCGTTGGTTGTTGGGAGCTATCTGACAAGGAATCCTCACTGGGTCAAAACAAATACAGATCAGTCTACTTCAAAAGTCTACTTCAAAATTCCTTAAGCCTAAGACGATCACTGTGCCTTCTGTTATTCTAGAGACGGTAATTGTTATTCGAGAGGTTGTGTTGTTGGGAGGTATTGGAATAGGAAGAATGTGTATTTGGGAGGTATTGGCCTTGGTAGAGTTAGTGGTATTTTGAGGTAGGAGTAGTGGGGAGGTTGTGGTATTTGGAGGTAATGGTATTGGGGAGTTGATGGTATTGAGGAGCTGGTGGTTTTCGGAGGTAGGCGTATTGTTGAGATGTTGTTATGGGGGAGGTAGTGCTAGGGGTATTGTTGATCGGAGATAGTGTTATTGGGAGTAGTCAATGCTATTTTGAAGGTAGCGATTTTGGGAATGTGGTGATATTGGGGAGGTAGCGGTGTTGGAATTAGGAGGAGGTGGTGTTGGAATAGGGAGGTAGTGGTATGTAGGTGGTATTAGTATTGGGAGGTAGTGTAAATGGGGAGGTGGTGGTTTGGGGGAAATCGTCGTAGGCATTAGGGACGTAGGGAGGTCGTGAGGTAGTGACATGCTGGGAAATAAAGATGTTGGGAAGATGGTAGTACATGTATTTGGGAGGTGGCGGCATGGTTAAGCAGTGGCATTTGGGAGGTGGCATTATAAGAAGTTAGCGGGTTTGGGGAGGTATTGGTACTGGGAGGTATCCGTATTTGGGAGGTAGTGATATTTTGGTAGTTTTGAGATGTTATGCTATTAGGGAGGTTGTGGTGTTTGGGAGGAGGCGTATTGGGGAGGTCCTGGTTTTGTGGAGGTGGTGGTATTGATGAGTTGCCAGAATTGGAATTATTGGGAGATGCTGGCATTTGGGAATGGGTGGTATTGGGAAGGGAGTGGTATTGGGGAGTTTGTGGTATTGGGGAGGCGGAGTAGTTTGTATTGAAGAGGTAGTATTATTCGGATTTAGTAGATTTAGGGAGGTAGGGAAAGTAGTCGTATTGGGGGAGGTACATGTAGGTGTACTTGGACACGTTAGGCGGTACTTGATTGAGTAGAGGGGTTGGAGAAGTAGCTGTATTGTGTTTATGGAGAGGTTGGGTTTTAGCATTTTTTCGGCTCTTTTGAACATAAAGCGTTGGCAGAGTACCATGACCTGTAAATAATGGAGCCTTGCCCAAGTATTGTATGAGGAACGACCCAGGCCGTTTTGGTAAGATAACACACGTCATACATTGGTTCAATCTGATCCGCATTCAAGTTATTCCAGTACGGATACTAACATATGCTGCCCCCTTTCTCTTGAAAAAAACCCATATCGGTGAAATGAAATGAAAAGAAAATGAACAAGGGAGTTTGTTTTTTGAAAAGACAAGTGGACAAGTGGTTACTTCACTGTGACCATGTCAGACCCTTCGAATCATTAAGTCGCCAATTTTCGGCCATCGTAAGATGCTGGGGACAAAGTTCCATCCCAGAATCCACACACGGCTTCACCAAGTCATGTAGAAAAACGCCTAATGCCATATTCAACTGCTGTTGATTTCAGGAGGACATGATGTTGGTCCTTGGGCCTCACATGAACTGGCAGGAGATGCTGTGTCCCGCCCCTCTCTCGGTGTGTCTCCTGGGGCAACTGGTCCTCGTCACGCTGGACAAGGACGTGTCTCTTGTGTCGGAACACATGACTAGGGATCGCTTCAAACACACCGAGTACCCGGAGTCCCTGCGGACCAGCATCCTTCAAGTTGCTGATGAGGGATGGAATGCTTTCAACCTGGCCAACAAAAACATGGATCAAATACGGCTGCTGACACTGCAGATTCCTTAACACGTCAAGAACGCAGTCAAGGTAATTATTTTGACATTGAATATGGACTGTGACTGCCTGACCACCCGATTCATTGAGTCGCTTACTTCGACCAGCGTAGGTTCCCGGGGACAAATTCCACCCCAGAATCCCCACAGGGCACCACCAAACCATGTAGAAAAACGCTTAAGTTAACATTCAACTGTTGTTGATTTCAGGAGGACATGATGTTGGTCCTCGGGCCTCACATGAACTGGCAGGAGATGCTGTGTCCCGCCCCTCTCTCGGTGTGTCTCCTGGGGCAACTGGTCCTCGTCACGCTGGACAAGGACGTGTCTCTTGTGTCGGAACACATGACAAGGGATCGCTTCAAACACATATTTGTGTGGAATATGTGTGATGGTCTGTTCGTTTTGATATCACCACTTTCATCATATTTTGTACTTGATACTGCCATTGAATATTGTACTACCACTCTTTTGTATACTGGCATTGTAATTGCTGTGTAGTAATTTGTATTGGTTTGTAAACATAGTTAATTTTGAAATACAATGATTGTATACCATTTGTTGGTTGGTTGTTGGTTTCACACTAAATTCTTTTACGTACAGAGTTCTAGGTCAACATGTTGTTTCAATTTGGGAATCGACACGTAACAGAACCAAAACCAAATTACAGTAAACTACGGTTATAACGAACTCAAAGGGGCCATAAATTTTAGTTCATAAGAACCGTAGTTCGTTATAGGCATATAAAGGGCATTTTTCAACACATGCCGGGGACTAAAACATAAGTTCATCATATCGGTCAGTTCGTTATAAGCGTGTTCGTTATAAACGTAGTTTACTGTAGTTTGTTATCATGAAAACATTATCTTTTTCCATCTGTCACACTCATGGTGTTGTGATATGTATAAATGCGCCTCTGCGATCATGAATAGACAAAATATGCATCGATTCGATGCTAAAATGGTGCGATTTAAAGGAGCGTCAGAAACAGATTACCGCCTGTATTATATGAATTATCTTACAACTCGTGAAATGATATCAAAATCCGCCTTTCAACAGTGAAAGGTATACCCTATAACCACCTATAACCACCATGCACACGGATATGATTTGTTTCTTTGTTTATTGTTGAAAGCGTCACTCAGCAATATTCAATTCTAAATAACGGCGACCCGTGGAGATCCGGGATAGAATAGGTCTTCAAAACCGATACCTGCCGTAAAAAGGCGACGAATGGGATCGGGTGTTCAGGCTCACTGACTTGGGTCGCACAAATATGAATAATACATCCGCAAGGAAGACCGTTAAACATCTAAATGATAATTATCTCCGAAGAGAGTTAATGTCACTGCACGTGCAAGTTATTCCTGCAACGAACAGTAAATAAATCATCACTTGTCATAGATCTATGTATCAAAGTTGTCTACAATCACACAACGCAAACTAGATTTCGGGCTATAAATCACCAGCAACACACGTTAGGCCACGGTACTGGGCAGTATTTCTGCAACCTGCATGATACCCCAGAAGTATCTACTCCATCACTTTATATGGGTGGGGTGGGGTGGGGTGGGGTGGGGTGGGGTGGGGTGAGGTGAGGTGAGGTGGGGTGGGGTGGGGTGGGGTGGGGTGAGGTGAGGTGAGGTGAGGTGAGGTGAGGTGAGGTGAGGTGAGGTGAGGTGAGGTGAGGTGAGGTGAATAGTGAACGTCGCGTCCAAGATGATGAATTTACGCTGATTTATGAATTACTTTCCAATAGTGATAATACCAGGTGTTCGCAAAGAGGTGAGCGTATCCTGTCCCTCCGATAGCACACGTTACAGACACATGCAAAGGCAAGTCAATTGTCCACCTGAAACTGTTTTCATCGTTTAATCTGCATCTCAACATCACAATAGAAAAAAACACAGTAATATTTACTGCATTTCAGTTATCATTCTCAGCTCCCTCGGGAGTATACAACCCATGCTGTCTTCAGGCGCTAGATGGCTGGTACCTCCACCTGACGTGTCACGTACTCGTTCCCTGCTGGGTCAATTAAGGCACATTTGAAGTGAGCCACTTGCCCAGCGCAACACCACACGTTTGGACACTTGTGCTTCCGGTGTATGAACATATTCGTGTTTCCACCATCTGGTCATCTGTAAACGGAGGTGTAGGTTCTTTTCAGTGCGCAAAGTGAATGTGCTGTAAATATATATATATATATATATAGTGGTTATAGACAATGAAACACAAAAGGGGACAAACGCTGAAAAAAATACATTTAATAAAACGTAATGGTCGTAACATTCCAATGCTATTGAACTTAACCAAACTGTATGATTTACAATGAACGTGACACATACACTGTACATTGTACCTGTCAATGTTTCGAAAGACGGTTTAAAAAATCAATTACAACTAAAGGGATATCACTGTACTGACATTCTTCGGGTGAAATGAGACGTCAAAATGTCAAACTTAAAATTAATTATTAGTTGAAATACTATCTTTATTTTGCCCTTTTGTTTCACCCTATTTGAATTTAAGTGCCAGAGGACTCGTTGAACACCTCGAGAATATTTTCACAAACTTTCTAATGAAGGCACAGTTGGTTTGGGTACTCTGTCTCCTTGTCCTGCGGAAGATCAGCGGGGATTATGGAACACCACGATACAAGAAAACGGGCAATTATGGTCTTCAGTTTCGTTCGAGTGTCTTCAGTTCGATATCAGAGAAACACCCTTCTTTGACTACTACCTACGCTGCTCAGCTTATCCTGTGTGCTGCGCGGTGTATGGCGGATGACAAATGTGTTGGTATAAAAGCAGAGAAAGATGGCAAGAAGTTGAGAACATTGATGGAGATATCAGCAGCTGTTGGTTATATCTGGAAACGGAAGTCAGGTACTGACATTATTGAAGGCTCTGTCCAGCAGGTTGAAGTACCGTCAAATTATTGTCCCCGTGTGCGACACGTAATTCCTGCCATCCATGTAACTGTCAATAACCATTGTTTGAAGCCAACTGATTGCTGAGTAGTTTCTAATATTAGCTAGTATTATCCACAACCACCAGTAGCTAAAGTGATGACGTTAATCCTGCTGGGGTATCGTGCAGGAAGCAGAGGCACCGTCCCCATGGTCCCCAGCGAGGTGGCCTAGCTTTGGTTGCTGGTGGCCTATAGCTCGTGTTTTAAAACTGTATAAATGATATTGTTATACCACAACATGTTTTAATGTAACTTTGCATTCATTGCTCACTCGTATATATATCAACTTGTTCTCGTCGCTATATGGCTGAAATAATGCCGATGCGACGTTAACTTGTAACTCACTCACTCACTTCACACGCACGCACGCATTTTAGTTTTACTTCCCTTGCTGTATTCAGAAAAGCCGTAAATAAAAGCGACACAATTCTTTGCATAATCATAAGAAATATCTACTAAGAGCAGATAGTACGATTCCGACTATATCATGAGCACTATGTTATATGCTTATGAAGCACTATCATAATAGTGATGCTACCAGATAGCATAACCCCATGCAGCAACAACAAACATTTACATTTTAGTTTTTATAATAATTGGCTTCCGTTTAATCACGTCACTCAAAACATTCCGACCTAACGTCTAAACATAGCCGACGTTAGGTGTCGCTGGTACTCCAACTGTCTACAACAACACTTTTTGAAATCTTGACTGGGGCCTCGTGATTTAACTATAATATTTCAGGACAAAACTGTACTTTATTACTCTACACATGGGGGTAGAGCAAACTTTTTTTAAATGCTCAATTTAAGACTTACCTTGTGTTATATTAGAGATGGGTTATAAAAGACCCCTGTTATAAGAGGTGCCGTAAATTAAAAATCCGCGAGCAGGGCCAACTGACGGGATGTTCCACCTAATTGCCTGTACCCTGACGTTAAGAGACAAAGTTGGCTTTGAACATGATAAAATACAACTAAAATGGGTAGTTTTATGATTTAACTCCGTCACGGTTTATCAGCCGTTCAGTGTGTATTATCCATAATACCCATGCAGCAAAAAGAAGCATTTACATTAATTTTAGTTTTTATAATAATTGGCTTCAGTTTAATCACGTCACTCGAAACATTCCGACCTAACATCTAAACATAGCCGACGTTAGGTGTCGCTGGTTGTGTTATGAGTTGATGTGTTTTCTGTCGTAAACGTTAAATGAATGAATGAATAAATTTCTTTATTTCCTCCAGAGTTGAATCCGAAAGGCAAATACATTATTTACAATACATCAGTGAAATTACTTGACTATATACAAATGAAATCATGTTATACAGTCCTATGAATAAACAACTTACAATGTACATTTTGTGAGTAGATGGGTATCTAGTAGCTATACATAAGGTTTTTCTTCAAATTCCATATAAAGTGGCAGAAAGACTTTGCCAAGTATTATAATCAAGTTCGTCAGTCAAGTCATGGACATCTGCACCCAGAAAGAATGAAAGCATATCATCGTCGTCAAGCATATCTGTTTTCACATAGACATCAACATCAAGTTTATCAATCAGGCACGAGAGGAAATGATTTCTGTCAGGCATAAAAAAATTTCAGTGTAAAATATGGCAATCACAGTCATATTAATGTCTTTTACAATGGTTACATTCTTTCGACAGTTTTGCTCTTGATCCGATTTTAATTCAAAGTTGCAGGGGTTGTCTTAAATGTGGATAGAGATACATAAGATTATAAAGAACATGATTTTGTAACCGTTTATGGATTTTATGGTACCGTGAAAGATCTGGTATCTGTGCTAGTCTCTCTCTCCAATTGTACTGTTCATTCTCTGATATACATGTACGTCTGATCACAAGAGCTCGCCTAGCCGGTTTAGTTGGGAATGAACCACTACCAGTATATTCTTTGATATAGTTATCTAAATGGTATTTTTTAGCAGTATATAGAAGGATGTTGCATATGCTTACTGGGCGGCTAATATTGACAATAGCGTTGGTAGCAATGTGAGCACAAAATAGATCTTTTGTTATTGAGTTACAATCGTTATTGCAGAGCCTTCTTGATAATTGTGGTGTACATTTATCAATGTAGACATTCATTGACCACATTCCCAAGTTAGAAATAGACGAATCGGTTGGGTGTCTTTCACCAAACCCTTGTATATAGCGAGCAAAGTAGTTTTGTGTACATTCAACCATTTCAAGTTCTTTACCGTTTAAGGCTGGTAACTATTCACATCCATCAAAGTTTGTAGATAAAATCATTCTTTTCCATATATTGACACACGCAACTGGGTGGAGATCGGAATTGTTTAGGCCGAGCGATCGTAGTGAATTAACACATTTTTTTGCTTTTGAGTAACACGTCATGATTCTTTCTTTACAGGATAAATTACTGTTTATGATTATTCCGCCATATTTGACGGAGTCGAAGGCGTAGCCAAGAGTTTAATCCCTCATTTACACATTCAAATGTAGCTCCCACGCCTTAATGGGTCTGGTAGTGTGTTTTCGTACACTGATGACGTGGTACCTTGCTCATAATATCAATCACTTGTTTCTGTGGTCCACTATACTATACTATAAAATGTCAAGGATCTATCGTAGTAATCAGATATACTATCATTGTCATCTTCCGTTTCATACATGATCGAGAGACAAACTTTGAGCCATACAGCACAACTATTGTTTATCCTCGGCGGGCGGGATACGAATCTGCAACCTCTTGGTTCGTAGACCCTCATGCTACCGCCTGTGCTACGGAGGCTGTTGTCATAAATGTCAATGTCCTTCGTCATCATTAAACAAGCTTGGTATTTTAACATTTCAATGTCGATATGGTACTAAGTTCGTTGTAAGTCCTGGTGGTATTTGTGTTATGCAAATACCAGTCAATCTGTTTCGCACATCTAATTTCAATATATATTATACATCTTATCGTAATTTAACATATTACCTAAAATGATATGCACCATATTTAAACATGTTTAGAGTAAATGGATGTTGTGTTTAGGTGGTTGTCTTGGCTCTGAGACGATAGCTCATTTCATGTATTCAGACCAAAAACATCAAATGTGTAGCTCTAAACATGTCTGGTATGTGTTTACATTCTAAACACAAAATAGGAAGAATAGATACCTAAGGAATATAGGTTATTCCTTGTGATTTGTTTTATTGCGTATCGTGTTTGAATAGTTCAATAAATAGTCCACTCCTTCCAGAAACAATTTAAAGCACATTTGTGTAATTCAAAACCGTCTAGATCAATTTCGTCAAAATAACGATATTTCTACAAACGTATGCGTTTCTTATTTTGTGAGTATAGATGAGTAGATGTGGAGTGTCAAAAAAGAAGTAATGTTTTCCTTCTAAAGAACGAGCGTTTCAATCATGTGTTGCCGCTGACAATCACTACAAATAAACTTTCAACAATCTTCTTTCCCAAATAACATGAACGCACGACTAGTAGAATCTACACCATGGCGAAGCAAATGATGCCAGTCTCTTCAACTGGGCAGTTGTTGGAATATTGATGAGTGCGGCGTTAGTTTGCTTGTTGTTTAACGCCGCACTCAGCAATATTCCAGCTATACTCAACAACAAAAGTTCATGTGACACCAATATATTTGTGTATTTTTCAAACAAGTAAAGTTTGGTTTTCAATATTGTAGTACATATATGGATTCAAGTCACAAAAACGCAACTGCTACAGAAAAGCATGCATTCCATGCAAAAGTTGACTTTTATGCAAGCCCCATGCATTTCACTACCCAAAAATGGGTATAAAAACATGTGCGTTAGCGGGATTCCATGTGCATTGTTTAGCATCGTGCTGACAACCAACACTCAGAAAAACAACAAAATTACGCAATTCTTCAACATTACGCAATGCCACGCCTGTCCGAAAATGAGCGTCTGCGAGCCATTGTCATGCTTGAAGCAGGATCGTGATGTTGCAAGACAATTTAACGTCCACAGAAACACCATTTGGTGTTTATGGCAACGTTGGCAACAGACGAATGCAGCCAGAGACCATCCTCGGAGTGGCAGGCCACGCGTAACCAATAATCGACAAGACAACTGGATTCGAACAACAAACCTACGAAATCGATTCCAGCCAGCAACAGTGACTGTAAGAAGCATCCCTGGCCTTCGACGAATATCTTCACAAACCGTACGTTGTCGCCTCAGATGTGCAGGGATTGTCGCCAGAAGACCCGCCAGACGTCCCATTTTGACAGGAAACCACCGCCAAGCACGTCTACAGTAGTGCACACAGCGTCTACGCTGGGCGGCCATGCAGTGGGGACAAGTTCTATTCGCTGACGAGTCTCGTTTTCACCTCAGACACAGCGATAGACGGATTCGAGTGTACCGACGTCGAGGTGAACTTTACGTCAATCATTGTGTCATGGAAGAAGATCGGTTCGGGGGCGGCAGCGTTATGGTATGGGGATGGGATTACAGCAAGACAGAGTACCCGTTTGATAGTGGTAGAGGGAATTCACAATGGACAGCGCTACCGCGACGAGATCATCGGCCCTGTTATTCTACCGTTTTTGCGTCGTCATGGCCCAGGCATTACCTTTCAACATGACAACGCCCGGCCTCACATTGCTCGACTTGTTCAGGCATCTCTTCGTGAACAACGTGAATGTCATCCCCTGGCCGGCTCGCTCCCCTGATCTCTTACCAATCGAGCACATGTGGGATAGGATGGATCGGCGCCTTCGACTTCAACCAGGTGTTCCACAGACACTCCAGGAACTTCGAAACATGCTCCAGCAGATATGGACAGATATCCCACAGGACTTTGTCCATTCCATGAGACGAAGATGTGTTGCTTGCCTCGCAACCAGAGGTGGAAACACACGCTATTGATTTGTAATATGACATTTTGGCATGTTCATGTTTTTTATGAAATCACGCATTTTTCTGAAGTCAGTATGGCAAATTAAATCATTTGAACACTTACAGGAGTCTTTTATCTGTTGCAAAACGAAATTGTTTCAGATTTGGTAAAAACATAACTTTGCATTAAATCTTATTCAATTTCACAGGAACTTTTGTTGTTCAGTATATATGACGGCGGTCTGTAAATAATCGAGTCGGGACCAGACAATCCAGTAATTGACATCATGAGCATCGATCTACGCATTAGGGATACGATGAGTGCATCAACCAGCGAGCCAGCCTCTTACGACAAGCATTGGTTGCTGAAAACCTATTATACCCCGGATCTTCTAGTGTATCAGCGTTCAAGCTTACGCTGCAATCAATAATTGTATTGTTAATCTCTCGCTTTGATTAGACCTTCTATGAAATGTAATGATGATGACATATACGTCTATCATATGTCATGTAATTTCCTTCATCAACTATTTAGGGGCACGGGTGGCCCAGTCGTCTAAGGCGCCGCGATTTGCTGTGCAGAGTTGCGTCCCTTGGGCACGCCAGAAACCCTATGATTGATAGTTCGAATGCCGGTTTGCCCCGATGTTTCTAGGTATGTCAGCACCATACCCTAGCTCGTGGGTTTCACTGATGTGGTAAACGTCTGAGACCTGCATCACTTCGGGCTTTCCTCCCACATTAATATAACTGGTGATATAACTGGAATACTATTAAAAGCGGCGCTAAAGACAACTAACTCACTCACTCTGTTTGAGTAGTATATATCATACGCGTCAGTGCTTGGTTTTCCTTTTTAGAAACCAAGACTGAGACTTCCAAGGGCGTCAAAAAGAAAGCATCACCACGCTTATTAAGTGCACATGTTTCGCCAGGGGGATGGACCGTAGAAGAAAGGGGCATGAAAGTCAAGATGGCATTGTTTGACCAAAGCAGTGAAAAGACCAATTTATGGAAGCCGAAAGTTGCGGCTTACAGTCGTCGAGGAGAGCCTGTGACTGTTGGTCTGCTAGCTTCCTCTGCAACTGTTATCCTTCATCTCCACAAGCCACGCAAATTATGTGCTGGGGAGCTGTTTGGAAAATTGCGGTGCCTGTTGGTGCCTCCAAACTGTAAGTATATGATCAATCAATATATTCAATAGATGTATAAACCCACTGAAGATCCAGGGTAAAATAGGTCTTCAGCAACCCATGCTTGCCGTAAAAGGCGACTATGCTTGTCGTGAGAGGCGACTAACGGGATCGGGTGGTCAGGCTCGCTGACTTGTGTGGATCGATGCTCATGACCTCAATGACTGGATTGTCTGGTCCAGACTCGATTATATACAGCATGCCGTCTTATAGCTGGAATATTGCTGAGTGCGGCGTTAAACAACAAACAAACAAACAAACAAACAGTAGCTGTATAATCTTCTCCTTCTGCCAGGTCATAGTGGTTATATATTTTTCGCTCGTCAGAAACATTTTCAAGTAAAAAGTATATAAAGGGCTTTTAATGTGTAAAGAACTCAACGCGCTCTGATATTTTAGTTCTCACATGCTGCCAAATTACGAAATCATGTTCTCTTCAAATGAAACATGGCCGGTCTCTAAAGGAGAAATTAACTAAAGTGGAAAGAGTTAATAATTCTCATATCGCATATGAATAATGAGTAAACAGTGTAGCAAGGGGAGAGTAATAAATAATATCATTACTCTTTCAGGGGATGCCATTGGAGGGATGCAGATGCACCTTGGCTACTTGTACGTGTCTGCTGGCAAATCAATATACATGTTGAAGATTACGGCATACTCTACCATTCGGAAGCTGACCGATTATAAGCTTGTAATGAAGCTACCGGATACCCCTTCAGAGATTGCCACAGATGAACTGGGCGGGAAAAGGTATTGTTATTATTTATTTCAAATAATACACATTATTCTGCGGCAAATACGAGCTGATGTCAATACATTCTCATAGAATATCGAGTTCAGGTTTATATTATGATACTTTTTTTTCCATTATGTGCAAAAGTTGTGTGCCAATAAGAAAGTAAGCTTTTAGAGCAGTCAAGAATTTCTGGTTTTGCAATTTTAGCATTAATCATCCAGAAATACTCTAGAATGTCAGAAACAAAACTAAAAGGTTTTTTGTTTTAGTTAACGTACATCCATCTCGTAATTCATATGACCAATTCGTGACCACATTTCCAAGCAGTGATACTTTGTGCGGAAGTGGTGTGTTCAGATTCCTGAACTCGGAAAGAAGCTGGCTGAGCAAGCAAAATGTTTTGTTTTGATAATAGTTTTAAGGCCGGAATGTGCATACATGAACATGTTATGTCTGTTAATGCCTATTTAGTTGTAAAAATATTTAACGTTATTATATTTATTTTGTGGGAAAACATTTGGTTTTGTGAAACCTAAAAACAACGTTTGTCCCATCTAGTATATGTGCCAGTTGCAAAGGAGAAGAGTGTCTTGTGGAAGGGGAATTTTATGTGTGTGCGGTGGGGGGACAATAATGTCGAGTTTATAAGAGATTCTCAGGCCCCTTGCACTGTGTATCACTGTATCCCAACCATGTCGCTATTATTATTACGTCAAAGCCGCTTCTTCTGCAGGGGACGGTGGAGTAGCCTAGAAGATAAAGCGTTCGCTCGTCACGCAGAACACCCGGGTTCGATTTCCCCCATGGGTACAATGTGTGAAGTCCATTTATGGTGTCCCCCGCCGTGATAGTGCTGGAATATTGCTTAAGCGGCCTAAAACCATATTCACTCACTCCTCTGTAGGGAATGGATCATCATCAGATGCGATTGAGAGTAAATATCATTGACATCAAATATAGATCCGTGAAGATCCGGGTAGAGAATATGTCTTCAGCAACCCATACTTTCCGTAGGAGGCGACTATGCTTGTCGTAAGAGGCGACTAACGGGATCGGGTTGTCAGACTCGCTGACTTGGTTGATGCATGTCATCGTATCCCAATTATGTTGATCGATACTCATGATGTTAATCACTGGAGTGTCCTCTCCAGACTCGATTATTTACAGACAGCCGTCATATAGCTGTAATATTGCTGAATGTGGCTTTAAACAAAAAACAAAAACAAAACAACTGTCATCAAATAACTCATTGACTGATTTTTCTTTTCAGCATGATCTTCTGGAGCGTGGAAAATAAACGACGCATAGGTCGAGCTCAGACGTACAGACATACATTTAAACTTATGGCTCCCTTAAATATCAACTGTAACCATTTCACCTTCACCATAGATTCAATTGGTGTGTTCCTAGCGCCATACCCCAGGGAAATAGGGGTTATCACGCGAGTGTGTTTGGGGATGGTGAATATCCTGTATAAGGAATAAACATTGTATTTAGCGAGCCTTGGCGAGCTAAATACATAGTGTTTATTCCTTATACAGGATATATACCATCCCCAAACACACAAGCATGATAACCTCTTTATCATATAATGTCATTCTTTAATTCTGTGCTTGAAAATCGCTTTCCCTCTCTCACAAACATTACCGAGTTTTTCCTGGATTAATATTTATTACGTCACAGGGTAAGAGATGTGTGAGTCGGACAGTGACAGTAGCCAATATAGCTCCGACTAAAATCTGTTTCTTATACAGTGGCGAAGCAACATACACGCAAAACAACAATTGTTTTTACTTGCCTTTCGCGGCAATCCATCTGTCTGTCCGCTAGAGTAACTGCCCTTTGTCAAAGGGAAGCTACTCTAACCCTAGTCTATGAGACGTCACGGCCACGTTCAGACGTTGTTGACAGTCGGTCTGTCCTGTCATAACGTTAAGTGCAGTCAGATGTACACACAGCGCCAAAACGAAACAAGGTAACAATTCAAACATATTTCGGCCAAATCCAACTATTTTAATTTGTGGAAAATGTTTCAAGCCGCAGAGGTCGACAAGCACATATATGCCCACTGATCCTGCTTAGCTAGGCCTAGTGCCCTCGCAAAAGTGTTTCGAAATTTATATCTTCAAAGTTGCCAAAAGATATAAAATGTCTTAGCTACATCACATTTAGACACTGATTTTCAGTATATTAGACTGTTCTTTTGATAATGATAGCAATTGTCCCTTTAGTTTATCCAGATTCCCGATGGTTAATTCTGACTCGATCGCCGAATGACAAGGGCGACGCCATGTTTGTTTGTAAACACTGAAAGTAGTCCCTACTTGAGCTTTGATATTTACATCTCTATCCGCATATGACCTCAGTGGATATCATTTTTATCCGTTGGCTTTATCCCACAGAGAAACCTACCTGTTATATGATAATTATCTATATCGCTGATAGAGGAACAAAACAATCAAGGACGGAAACTAAATGATGCGTGGTCTCTTGGACAAACGCACATATCCGCTGTCGAGAACACAAAACACGAGCTCCGTGTTAACTGTTTCACATAATACTAAGTCTTTTATTTTTCTACTTAACAAAAATCACGACAACAACCAAGAAAGCAACTGACGTAGTTTCGTTGAAATGCTTTGTTTACTACCATGTACACATGGCATCTGTTGTAGATATTGTTAGGATACACATGTGCATTAAAAGTGATTCTTCAAAATGAGGCACGGGTGACCAAGTCGTCTAAGGCGCCTCAAATATCTGTGCAGAGTTGTGTCGTAATTGAGCACACCAGCAAATTATGATCGTGGATTCGAACCCCTATGGAAGCGTATTAGTGCCACAGTATCATCTACGTAGAGGATACTTACATCTACGAAGATGATACTTACATCTACGTAGATGATACTTACATCTACGTAGATGATACTTACATCTACGAAGATGATACGTACATCTACGTAGATGATACTTACATCTACGTAGAGGATACTTACATCTACGTAGATGATACTTACATCTACGTAGAGGATACTTACATCTACTTAGATGATACTTACATCTACGTAGAGGATACTTACATCTACGTAGAGGATACTTACATCTACGTAGAGGATACTTACATCTACATAGATGATATTTACATCTACGTAGAGGATACTTACATCTACGTAGAGGATACTTACATCTATGTAGAGGATACTTACATCTACATAGATGATACTAACATCAACGTAGAGGATACTTACATCTACATAGAGGATACTTACATCTACATAGATGATACTTACTTCTACATATATGATACTTACATCTACGTAGAGGATACTTACATCTACATACATGATACTTACATCTACATAGAGGATACTTACATCTACATAGAGGATACTTACATCTACGTAGAGGATACTAACATCTACGTAGAGGATACCTACATCTACATAGATGATACTTACATCTACATAGATGATACTTACATCTGCATATATGATACATCTACGTAGAGGATACTTACATCTACATAGATGATACTTACATCTACATAGATGATACTTACATCTGCATATATGATACATCTACGTAGAGGATACTTACATCTACATAGATGATACTTACATCTACATAGATGATACTTACATCTACGTAGAGGATACTTACATCTACGTAGAGGATACTTACATCTACGTAGAGGATACCTGCACTACGTAGAGGATACTTACATCTACATAGATGATACTTACATCTACGTAGAGGATACTTACATCTACTTAGATGATACTTACATCTACGTAGAGGATACTTACATCTACGTAGAGGATACTTACATCTACGTAGAGGATACTTACATCTACGTAGAGGATACTTACATCTACATAGATGATATTTACATCTACGTAGAGGATACTTACATCTACGTAGAGGATACTTACATCTATGTAGAGGATACTTACATCTACATAGATGATACTAACATCAACGTAGAGGATACTTACATCTACATAGAGGATACTTACATCTACATAGATGATACTTACTTCTACATATATGATACTTACATCTACGTAGAGGATACTTACATCTACATACATGATACTTACATCTACATAGAGGATACTTACATCTACATAGAGGATACTTACATCTACGTAGAGGATACTTACATCTACGTAGAGGATACTTACATCTACGTAGAGGATACCTACATCTACATAGATGATACTTACATCTACATAGATGATACTTACATCTGCATATATGATACATCTACGTAGAGGATACTTACATCTACATAGATGATACTTACATCTACATAGATGATACTTACATCTACGTAGAGGATACTTACATCTACGTAGAGGATACTTACATCTACGTAGAGGATACCTGCACTACGTAGAGGATACTTACATCTACATAGATGATACTTACATCTACATAGATGATACTTACATCTACGTAGAGGATACTTACATCTACATAGATGATACTTACATCTACGTAGAGGATACTTACATCTACGTAGAGGATACTTACATCTGCATAGATGATACTTACATCTACATAGATGATACTTACATCTACATAGAGGATACTTACATCTACATAGATGATACTTACATCTACGTAGAGGATACTTACATCTGCATAGATGATACTTACATCTACATAGATGATACTTACATCTACGTAGAGGATACTTACATCTACGAAGATGATACTTTCATCACATCTACGTAGAAGATACTTTTATCCAGGTAAGAATATTTTCTCGAGTAATCGTCACGAGTTCAGGGTTAATTATGTATAACCACTGGCTTAATGAATAATGACCGATTTGTTTGACTTTCTATCTTGACATGGCTTTATTGACAGTTTGTGTTTTTATTTTAACGCTGATAGTTTGACAAGTTGAAATGATCTCAGTATGTTTTAAAAGTACGGAAAAAGGCCAAAATATACAACCAACATGCTCCCAAACATTTAATTAAATTAACAGTAATTAAGTAATCACCTTTATTTAAAAAATCATCTACGTAGAATTTTTTTTATTAGACTGTAGCACTACTACGCTTCCATAAATCTCGGCGCGCCTCGATTAAATTTCTAGGTTTGTCAGCACCATACCCGTGCTCGTGGGTTTCATAAATGTGCGAGACCTGCATCACTTCGGGCTTCCCTCCCACATTAAGCTGACACGCCGTGATATGACTGGAATACTGTTAAAAGCGGCGTTAAACCTCTCACTCACCCGCACTTCATAGTATTGTTGAATGTAGTAGTAATTTAGTTGTATTAACAGGTAGGGATGTTAGCGATCGAGTGTTGTTAAGTGTTACATTAAAGATATTTTAAATAGTGTTTTGGAGGGCAAATCTTACTGGTTTCAGGTCACGTGATATACGTTCTGACAGATGACAGGAGGCTGAGACTGATCAGATACATACATGCATCGACACCCCCAACCGGGTCAACTGTCCTCACAGTTCTCAGTTTCAAGGGGCCAATTACAAAGCTATTGTTTTCAATGAACACAATTCATCTGATCTGGCCCTACAAAAAGTGAGTATGCATTCACAAATCGTAAATCATTATAATCACTATTATAGCTCAATGTTAAATACATTCGATGCCTCTGTAGCAGCAGTTAATTTATTGGTCGTTACTTGTGTCTGACTATACAAGCATTTGGTACTGAACAAAAAACTTGGGATCATGAATAGTTTGGGGATATATTTTGTAGTGAAGAGTGAGCACACAATTTTATAATATTATCCCCAAAATATTAACTTTTTTTGTTCTGTGTAAAAAACATGCCTATATTGTTTCAGTGACGTGGTGTCTTTTGACGTCCAGGAGAAGCTCGTCTATCGTAGACGTCTGACTAACCTGCAGATATCTCCTCCCAAGCGTGTTATAACAATAATCTCTCAATGACCAGGAATGTTTGTTTGTTTCTTGTTTAACGCTGGCGCTCTGTAAATAATCGACCAGGCAATCCAGTGATTCACATGATGAGCATCGATCCACGCAATTGGGATACGATGACATTTATCAACCAAGTCAGCAAGCCTGACCACCCGATCTCGTTATTCGCCTCTTACGACAAGCGTAGTCGCCTATTATGGCAAGCGTGGGTTCATGAAGATCTATTCCACCCCGGATCTTCACGAAATGGACACACAGCGTTATTCCAGCTTCATAACCACCCGATCCCGTAAGTCGCTTCTCACGACAAGCATTTGTTGCTGAACCAAATTCTAACCCGGATCTTCACGGCTGGATGGTACTTGATCCATGATTTCAACACCAAGGCCCAAATGACAGCAGCTAAAACCCTTTGAATTTATGTTGTAAGGAGATACAAAGCCTCTAATTTATTTGTATCTGTGATTGTGGGTTAACTTATATGTTCATCAAAATTGAATATCATTGAGGAAATAAAGATGAAATATGAAATGCACCGATATTATATATGTATGTGGGCTGTGTATTTATTTTAAGTATCATGTCAGTTGGTCTGTAGTTTCGAGGATATCCTACAACCATCAGCATTAAGCTGGGGGAGGGGGGAGGGACACACGGGTGTCCCAGTCGACAAAGGCGCCGAAATTCGCTGTGCAGAGTTGCAGTCCTTAGGCACGTCAGAAACATCTGATCGTGATTCTCAGATGGAGACCCCATTCTTCGAACTGCACTATGATATCCTACAATCTGTACAGCTTCTATAACTTTGAAACCGCAGATTTTGCTATTGTGTGATGTTAGGCCTTGAGCATAAACTTAAATGGGTGATGCTTTGGAAATTGTTATTGATTACTCAATCTGAATCATGACCTCTTGCATGACTTTGGTCTTTCTTCACACACATAACTGAGGTGGGGTGAATTGAGGTTTAACGTCGCGTTCAAGATCATTGCACTTATATAGCGACGTGCTAATTTCGATTTTATAGTGCTAACCCACGGAGATACCATGCCCCAGTTAAACATGAATACCCCACTCAGACAGTTCGGAACACGCTGTGATACGACTAAAATAATGTTCAAAGTGGCGTTTAACCAAACTCACTCACTCGTAAGTTAGAGTAATTATCTAACTGGGCTCAGGTCAGTTGGCCTCTAATTATTTAAATGCTGTAGATCCAGTAGCTCTAGCAACTCTCGCAGAGAAGATCGACCCACCTGTCTTTGGGGTTGCGGCACAATCCTGTGCTAACAAAGGCCGGGCAGACGACTGTCACCTGTATCCAGCTGTAACCTAGCAACGCCATCTCCTCCGCCAATGCTTCGGAGAAAACCAGAACTGCCGCCTTGGAGGAACTGCAATAGAACCTAGCCTGTTACCTAGCGACAGATTGTGGTTAATGGTTACCAAGGGCACAGGACATACAAGACAACCTATCCCACAGGAAATAGTGTAGAAGTGCCAGCATTATCAAACTGTTCCCCAGCTAAGATAACACCCCGTTTACTACGACCCGTGAAGATCCGGGTTATAATAGGGACTCAGCAACCCATACTTGTCGTAAAAGGCGTCTATGCTTGTCGTAAGAGGCGTCTATGCTTGTCGTAAAAGGCGTCTATGCTTGTCGTAAAAGGCGTCTATGCTTGTCGTAAGAGGCGTCTATGCTTGCCATTAAAGGCGTCTATGCTTGTCGTAAAAGGCGTCCATGCTTGTCGTAAGAGGCGACTAACGGGATCGGGTGGTCAGGCTCGCTGACTTGGTTGATGCATGTCATTGTATCCCAATTGATGACATGAATAACTGGATTCTCTGGTCAAGAATCCATTATTTGCAGACCGCCGTCATATAGCTCTGACCTATTGCTTGTACCCGGATAGGGGCGGGTAATAGGGGGCAGGTACCTGGGTAGTAAATTTGGACTCGTCCAAACACTATCTATCTATCTATCTATCTAGCTATCTATCTATCTATACAAAATCTCACCTGGTGTAACGCCAAGCAGGGTTGTGGTCAGAAACAACGTCTACTTCATTTCCCACACCGACCACATAAGAAACTACAACTATGCCTACGGTATCTACACACTCGTCTTCCAGAATAAATTATCTGATTCGATACATTTATCTGACCTAATATCATATCATCAAAAGGGCGGTGGGCTAGTCGTTAAAGCGTTCGCTCGTCACGCCGATACCCCACATGGGTACAATGTGTGAGGCCTATTTCTGTGTCCCCGCCGTGATATGGCTGCAATATTGCTAAAAGCGGCGTAAAATCATGCTCAGGTCACACATTGTGACGACACAATTCTCATTTCATTTGTCTTTCATTTGGTTTCGCACATTGTACCCATGTCGGGAATCGAACCCAGGTCTTCGGCGTGACGAGCGAACGCTTTAACCAATAGGCTACCCGAATGCCCCTAACATGTAGCTAATATATTTGGGAGTACTTTTCTTTCCTATTAGTACCACACCTTGCCTAGGTTGTTGTAGAAAGCTTGGTTAAGACCATCTTCCGGTGTGCTGTTCCTGACGTTATGCATGACAGATTAACTATAGCAATATGAAAAAATATGGTGATCCTTAGTAGTATATTTTCAATTGTAATTCTATGCCGTCTGTATAGCATATTAAATATTTAATATTTTAAACGTTACACTTTTTATTAGAAGTAGTTCTATTGTGTCTTCTCTAACATTACAAGAAGCGACTAACGTGATCAGGTGGTGAGTCTCGCTGACATGGTTAATGCATGTCATCTTATCCCAAATGATCGATGTTCATGATATCAATCACTGGGTTGTCTGGTCCAGACGCGATTATTTACAGACCGCCGTCATACAGCTGGAATATTGCTGAGTGCGGCTTAACCAACCAACCAACAAACAAAACATTAGGTATAGCAAATTTTATACTTTCAAAAACTACAAACACGTTTGCGTAATTTCATAGGCTTTGTATTTTCCAAAACTGGATATCTCTGTTATCCCAGGGTTGTTTGGATGAAGATACAATATCATCTTGAATAAGAATAAAAATATAACACTCAGAACAAGGATAATGTTATTCCTTGGAATCTCTTCCAGAGTAACACATATACCGTAAGACTCTATGTGAATGTCTCGGGTAACATCAAATTTATGTTGAATAATCCGTACTTCGAATAAAATATATCTTTATCATATAATGGGTAGCTTTCTTTGCAGGATAAATCCAGCGGAAAAATGTGCAAATGGACAGGTTGTATTCCAATCTCATTAAAATCAGACCTCAGTTCTCGCTACCGCCAAACAAAGATCTGAGGACATCCCATTAGGGGTCACGTCAGAACGACCTTTCATCTGACCAATCAGAGCGTCGCTTACCAGATCATGAAAATGACATTCAGAATGTGAATTCTGATATTGCAACCTCGAAAACTTTTACACGGGGTATTCCGAACGATAGTTACGGTTTTAACGACTGAATCCATACAATCTAGACCATGTATTAGCCATTCCAGAATGTTCTTTTGTTCAGGTTTCAAATTTGTAATCGAGAATTTGTCAAAATATGTTTCGAAGCGAAGTGGCCAATTTGAAATTAGGGTCGTAAAGCAAGTGATTGCTGTCCTCTGATTCGGTAATGTCGTCTTCTTGTCAGTCCTTCTATCGGTCGGTCAAAGTTCGCGCAAGGTCGGTCTGACGTGACCCGTAATGGGATGTCCTCATATCTCTGTTTAGCGGAAGCGAGAACTAACATCTGGTCCTAATGAGATTGGTTGTATTCACGTCAGTGTTTACAAACAAACCATGACGTCACCGTTATCCATCGGCGATCGAATCAGAACTGACCATCGGGACACATTACTGGGATAATAGATCACAGTTCAATTAAGATGTCATTCTTGTCTTAAAAGCAACTATATTTCCTGATAGCACTTTCCAACTGACAAATCACTGGCCCTGTGACGTACTTTATTAATTCGAACATAGCAGGAAGACTTACGATGTTTTGGTACCACTTTTTTTTAAATAAGAATATTGTTATTATATAATGATAAAGACGGTATCATCATGATTTTGCGTTGTGGACGGAAAATATCCTGTATTTAGAATAAACAATATATACTGAGTCAAATTAAAAACTTCACATTTTTAAAAGTAATCCCATATATGATATACAACGGACAAATGTATCAGAGAAGGTAATTTTTTATCATTAATGTCCAAAGAAGGATTTTAATTAACGGTGGTAACCATAATTTGTTCCAAGCAGCTACGATATTCGGTAATAACATCAACAGTTTAAATCATAAGTCCCAAGCACGGGAATCTGATGGCACACAAGTTCAGTAGCGTGTATGGCCACCATGTGCGTTGACAACTGCCACACAACGCCTCCGCATGGACCTTGTGATGCTTGTGAACACATGATTGGGAAAACGACGCCATTGTTGCTGCAAAATGGTGCCAAGATCTTGCAAAATCTGTGGTTGGTTCTGGAGAGTGCGCAGACTTGATGGGATTGAGGTCGGGAGACCTTGACGGCCAGTCCATGACGTTGACTCCCGCATTCTGAAGGAAATTCCTTGTCAAAATTGCTGTGTGGGGTCTGGCATTGTCGTGTTGGAAGATCAAACCGCGTCCATGTGCTGCCATAAAAGGCAGAAGTTCTAGTGCCAGTACCTGGTCGCGGTAAGCAGCAGCGTTGAGGTTGCCACGGATGACAAGAAGCCTGGAACGTGCATTGCCACAGAAAGCACCCAACACCATGACACTTCCGCCTCGAAATCTGTCAACTTCTTGTACACAACACTGGGCGTAACGTTCATGACGGCGCCTCCACACCCTCGCCCTACCATCAGCAAATCGAAGATTAAATCGGGATTCATCACTGAAGACGACTTGAGTCCATCGTAAGTGTCGCTGTGCTCACAATTGACGTTGACGTCTGTGTAATTGAGTCAGAATCGGCCCGCAGTATGGCCGTCGTGCTTGAAGGTGAGCAGTTCTCAGACGGTTTCGAACAGTTTGCGCACTCAGTCTACCCCTAAACAGTTCATTTCTGGTTGATGTAGCCGTCAAAAATCGGTTACGGAGGTGACGTAAGACAATCTGACGGTCCTCTGCATGTGACGTCGCACGTGGTCGACCTGGCAGAGGGCGATCAGCGGTGGTACCCGTTTGCTGTAGACGCGTCTGTAAATCATAAACAGTCCGTCGACTACAACCCATCGTCCTTGCAACTTCAGCTACGGACGTTCCCGTCTGCAACATGCCGATGGCACGTTCACGTTGCACATTTGAAAGGCGTGGCATGGCAAATGGCCGTAAAGACTTTTGTTTTCTTGTGTTTTTCTTTTTTTTGATAATGACTGCTAACAAGTATGGCTGAAAACACGTGCGGTATTATGGCCACGTGACCAGTTGCACGTGAAAAAACACTTTTGCCACTATAGTGCTGTGCACATGATTTTGATCGATTCACCTGCACAAAAACGGGTGTTATCTGAAGACAATACGTGGCCATTACTGTTTAAATACACAATAAGGGCCCACAATGATAACTGGTCAAAATGTTAAAATTTTAGGATTGTGAAGTTTTTAATTTGGTTCAGTATACAATAACATTAAACGCAGATCTTAGTTCTCGCAACCGCTAAACAAAGTTCTGAAGACATCATTAGGGTCACTTCAGAACGACCTTTCAGCCGACCAATCAGTGCGTCGCTTACCATATCGGGAAACTGACAGTTGAATGTGTTTTCTAATTATGAAACATCGAAAAGGTAAACATGGGTATTCCCAACGACAATTACGGTCCGTACGACAGATTCCGTCAAAACCATCGTCCTCGCTTCAAAGGGATAAACATTTGAAACGGAAGGGACTTTCCATAGCGCGTCGTAAGTACAGCCATACAATTTCGGCCGTGAATTAGACATTTCGGAATGTTCATTTGTTCAGTTTATAAAGTTTGAATCAATATTTTTTAAAGCTTAGTCTGGAATGGAAGTGGCCAGTTTGAAACTGGTGCAGTAAAGCTGGGGAAATCTGTTTCTGGTTGGCTAGTCATTTCGGCTTCTTGTCAGTCATTCATTGCAATTGGTCAGTCAAGTTAGCGAAAGTTCATCTGTAAAGGGCGGCCTCAGGTCTTTGGTGATAGCCGTGACTTTACACACACTTTATGGATGTGTGTCAGTTGCAGAAAACAGTACCCTATCACCTGATAGTCCTGTCCCTATCGAGATGTTCCAGCGTCTACATTGTCAAGATCAGTCGAAATCAACAGTTTCAATGACAATGGAGGCAACAATGGGCACAGTATGTTCCATAAAAAGAAAATCTGAGTAAAATTATCAGAATAAAATGTATTCATAATTGGAAAGCAACACCCCGGAATAATAAACCTGAAATATTATTGACAGAACACACATTTAGTATTGTTGACAGAATAAACCTGAAGAGGTGTTGAAAAATAAACTTGGATTAGTGTTAACAGAATAAACCTTGAGTAGTGTTGACAGAATGAACCAGGAGTAGAGTTAACAGAATGAACCTGGAGTAGTGTTAACAAAATGAACCTGGAGTAGTGTAGACAAAATAAACTTGCATTAGTGTTGACAGAATAAACCTGGATTAGTGTTGACAGAATGAACCTTGATTAGTGTTGACAGAATAAACCTGGAGTAGTGTTAACTTAATGAACCTGGAGTAGTGTTAACAGAATGAACCTGGAGTAGTGTAGACAAAATAAACTTGCATTAGTGTTGACAGAATAAACCTGGATTAGTGTTGACAGAATGAACCTGGAGTAGTGTTAACAGAATGAACCTGGAGTAGTGTTAACAGAATGAACCTGGAGTAGTGTTAACAGAATGAACCTGGATTAGTGTTAACATAATGAACCTGGAGTAGTGTTAACAGAATGAACCTGGAGTAGTGTTAACAGAATGAACCTGGAGTAGTGTTAACAGAATGAACCTGGATTAGTGTTGACAGAATAAACCTGGAGTAGTGTTAACAGAATGAACCTGGTGTAGTGTTAACAGAATGAACCTGGATTAGTGTTGATAGAATAAACCTTGATTAGTGTTGACAGAATGAACCTGGAGTAGTGTTAACAGAATGAACCTGGAGAAGTGTTAACAGAATGAACCTGGAGTAGTGTTAACAGAATGAACCTGGATTAGTATTAACATAATGAACCTGGAGTAGTGTTAACAGAATGAACCTGGATTAGTGTTGACAGAATAAACCTGGAGTAGTGTTAACAGAATGAACCTGGAGTAGTGTTAACAGAATGAACCTGGATTAGTGTTGATAGAATAAACCTTGATTAGTGTTGACAGAATAAACCTGGAGTAGTGTTAACTTAATGAACCTGGAGTAGTGTTAACAGAATGAACCTGGAGTAGTGCTGACAAAATAAACTTGGATTAGCGTTGACAGAATAAACGTGAAGTGTTGTTGACAAAATAAACATGCATTAGTGTTGACAGAATGAACCCGAAGTAGTGTTGACAAAATAAACTTGGATTAGTGCTGACAAAATAAACCTTCAATTTATAACTTATGTCAATTATATTATCAAATTATATGCATCATGCCTTTACGAAAAACCTGATCCATGATCACATTCAGGATAGCATGAATGTTATTTTGAAGAAATATGTGTCCGCGCACCTGTTGTGTAAGGTGGTCGTTCAGATATCTGGACGTAGAATCATTTGCGTCGGATATACATGTAACTGTAACATAAAAGGGTGATCCTTATAAAAACAAAACTTCACAAAAAAAGATACTGGGAAACGTGCATGCGGTGTGTTGATACACCTACTACCATTTCCGGGTCACGGGAGCATACAAGGTGAAGCCAGTTTAATAATATGCCAATTATATCGTCAAAGTCACATTGTTATCTCATATGAGCGATAATTACTGATACTATGTACTTATTTGTGCTTATTATGAGTGTGAAAAAAGAAATATTTCCAAATTTACTGTATATATTTTATAACGAACGATTATCAGCAGATTACCCGTCTGTGACATCACATCCGGTGACTTCTGTGACATCACATCCGGTGACTTTTGCACTTACTGAAAAATTGCAGCGATTTCGCGATCTTTAGTTTCGTTCATCTCTCGTTATATCAAACTGAACATGGAGCTTTCGCCAAGGTATAGATATGAAGGCAATGAAAACTTTGCTTATAGAGTAGCAATATTTTATGCTGTGGTCGGTCTGCTAGCATTACGACACGGAATTTGTATGTTTAAATATAAAAAAAATTCATCCAAAACACTTGAAATTAGGATTTGTGAATATGTAGAAGCCGATTATTGTATCCTGCAAATTTTATAACATGAATCATTATATTAACCCGAATATTCTCATTTCCGCAACTGACATTATGACCTCGAAAATTAAGTGTGTCTAACGCTGGATGACAAAAATACTTAAATGGTTCATAATTTACCATCGCCCTGTTGTTTGCTGATACAAAAATACGAATTTATACTATATACTTTATTAATATTTTGGACATTTTATTTTCAAAATCAATTTGCACAAATTTAACGATTTAAACTTATAATTTCTTATATGAAACGCATCTCACCTTCAATAACGTAATTCAGGTACGTGCAAGAAAATTTAAGATTATGTTCGCTTTGGTCTTAACCTCTGTATGTTTGAAAATGATATTTATATATGACAATGTGTATTTTTCTTCCGGGTATTAATGTGCCACATATTGGTTCAAATGTCCCTCGTTTAATAAGCAAAACCATTTGAAATCACCCACCCTCATTGCGCCTTATGGGAAATATTATCCAGCAGACAGGGCCAAGAAGTGTGAAAAAATTTCAGCAGACTAATGGTTAATAGAAAGCTTTCCATTGTCAATCGGAAAAAACCGCTGACAGTTCCCTAATCTTGAATTCCCTATAGGCCTAGGAAGCATAGCGTAGCACCATCTGTGTAAATTATGAAAATCTTTGAATGTAATTATAAGATGATACAACGACGAGCCAAAAAACTCGCCCAGCTCTTTTAAAAGAACAGTTGGTAAAGGACAGCAAGGTTCAGCACTAGCAGCACCAGTGTGAGGAGTCTGTGGGACGACTGTTTCTGTGTACCTTCAGGGAGAGGTCTGGTCTTAAAGGGGTACTCCATTCTATCTGTCTGGGTCATGATGGCCTCCCGGGCCCCCGACCACGTGCCCGGCCCCCTCAGGCGGTATTGGTAGGGGGTGGTTGCCGCAAACAAACACATGAGTCCAAGTTTCGGATCTGTCAGGAGAAGACGACCTGGGACAGAGAGGTTGAACAATGTTCATATAGGTTGAAAACAAATGAATATATGAAAACTTTTCGTTGTGTACTCTAACGATTCTCAAATCTGAAATTGGTCTGTTAATACAAAGGCTCGTGGTGCCTCACGCCATTCCTTCTCAAGGGACAGATGAGACATACCAATTCCTTAAAACGTTTCAAAGTCCTGAATCCCGTTCCACAAAGCTATCTTAGCGTTAAGACGATCGTAACTCATATAGTTTAACATAGACTTACGTCAATTCGAGCGCTAAGATTGCTTTGTGGAATCGGGCCCTGGATATTTGTTTGGGGTATGAACCAGTATATTCAGACATTTAACAAGGTGAGATAATTCCTCATTCACGTGCAGGGGACATATGTGGTTGTATATGACTTCATGGTGAGATAATTCGTAAGCCATATTCAGTGAGTGGGATCTCCGGGGCCCACTGTCGTCTACAGTTCGTTTGGTCTACAGTGTTATCAAAAAAAGGTTATGCACCACTGATAAGAGACCGACCCCTACAGAACATTGTAGACCAGCCTGAAGGATAAGGAGTATAAGAGAGAGTTAAAAATATTTATTATATTCAATGACCAAACATAACATATCATTAGCACTATTCCTAATATCAAACATTTCAGCAAACTATTTCTGAGATATATTTGTCCTATACTGCAGCAGCAGATGAACAAGCACTGTATAATAACAATTAATTTCTAAACAAATAACACGTATAAGAGTTCTGTACTGCAACAGCTGATGAACAACATGAAATCATTTTACGGTTATAACGAACACGCTTATAACGAACTGACGGATATAACGAACACTATATTTTGGTTATTACGAACTAAAATAAGGGGTCCCTTAGAGTTCGTTATAACCGTAGTTTAAAGTATTTCTGAAACTCAACACTTTGTGTTCTGTACTGTTCAACAGTTCAACCAAGTTTAACTTAATGCATATTGTGAATAGAACACTTTGTTATACCTTCAGTTATAGAAAGTTCCTAAAAAAACATCTGATAATTAATTGACTCCTCAGAGTTTTTCAGAAATCTGTTTTCTCAAAGGAAATAAGTTAGTTAATCCTTGGCTAAAAACTTCTGCAAGTGTAAATAAATAATCTTTTTGTTGTTATCAGTAAGCCATGTGTTTGGCAAATTAGTGGTTTAATGGTTTTTTAAAATATAAACGAAAGACAAATGAAAGACTACTCGGGAGGAGCTAATGGGGCAGCTAAGCTTCTTAATAGTTATTATTTTAGTCTAAGGGTTCTTCCCTTTATTTACTACCCCGATACACCTATGCAAGGTATTTTTAATTATTCTGCTTCATTTAAAGTTCTGATTGTAATGATTTTGTCTCTTGTATTATGGAGTTTGGATTTATACATTGGGATGGGAGTAACCGAGTGTAGTCGATTCATCCCAACTTAGGGACCAGTTCAAAAGTTCGATGTTGGATAAAAAACTTAATTCCTAAGTTTTAAGGCATACCACCCTCAAAAAATATTCAAACAAACAACAACAAAACAACAAAACAAACAACAACAAACAAACAAAACAACAACAAAAAACAACATAAAAAACAAAACCAACAAACAAAAACAAAACCAAAACCAACAAACAAAAAAACACACACAAAAAACAACAACCTTAAGCTTCTTCAGAAAAAGTTGAAGTACGGAGTCTCGTGGCCTCTTTTGTCAAGCATGCTTGTGTTTTCCCCTGTTTTTTCAGAACGTTTATCGACAGAAGGTGTTGAAAATCATTTGTGTTTATAGATCAAATCTGCCATTTTGTATTATGCACTGCACCTAGATGGACCCTACCTTGTGGAAGACTGGATGTATTAATGACTACAGCATATGAATGAAAGAAGGCTGGTTCAGGTCTGTCACTATCATGTATAAACTAAAGGAATTATGATTTTTATCTGACAAGGAACTTGTCACTGGTCCCTTACAACAACTACTGTCATGGGACTGACTGTAGAGCAAATGAACTGTAGTCGGAAGTGAGCTCTACCGATCTCCTTTACGCCATTATAGTAAGGGGAGATAATTCCTTCACCAATGTTCGGTCGACATCCGACAAGTTCCGCCAGTTCGTCAATGAACTCGACAAAGTCGACCTGGATTGTGTGTCGCTGGGACTCGACATATCTCGCCGCCATGGCCGCCTCCTTCTTCCTAATGTCCGCCCACATCTCGTACTTTGACGGGAGAATCCACGTGCCCTAGCGACAGAAATGGGTGAACTGACTACTCTACAATCACGATTGAGACAACACGAGGGTTGGAGGTGAGAGGCATTGGTTTGTTTGTTTGTTGTTGTTTTTTGTGTTTAACGCCGCACTCAGCAATATTCCAGCTATATGACGGCGGACTATAAATAATCGAGTCTGGACCAGACAATCCAGCGATTGACATCATGAGCATCGATCCACGCAATTGGGATACGATGACATCAACCAAGTCAGCGAGCCTGACCACCCGATCCCTTAGACGCCTCTTTCGACAAGCATAGTCACCTTTTACGGCAAGCATGGGCCGCTGAAGACCTATTCTACCCCGGATCTTCACGGGTTTGAGGCATTGGTAGCCCTGAGCTTCAAACACTCCGGGTTCGTTTTGTGGAAGAATTCGAGTGAGTGGGTGGGTGAGAAGGTGTCTTGCATGTTGACTTTCTTGTGACAATACAAATACAGAGGAGGTGGGTGTGTGTGTGTGTGTGTGTGTGTGGGGGGGGGGGGGGGGGGGGGGGGGGTGGGGGGGGGGGGTGGTAGTAGCCTTATGGTTAAAGCGTTCGCTCGAACGCTGAAGACCCTATTCTTGACCTTATTCTCCAAACATGGGTACAATGTGTGAAGCGAACGCTTTAACCACTAGGCTACCTCACTGCACCCTTGTGGTTATATCATTCGCTTGTCACGCTAACATGGGTACCAAAAGCGGCGTGAAACCTTGCTCACTCACTCTGACACATTGCTGACACATATCTTAATTGAAAGAGAAATTGAGGACCATTTGTGAATAATTACGACTTTCTAAAAATAAAATAATTTCCACCTACATTGAAAACTCTCGTTGCCAGGCGACACTGCATTTCCGAAATGGGCATAATGGCGCCGACAGGTTGACAAACCCCAATCACCACCAATGTCTGTTTCGGCAGGTCAGGTGGAAACATATACTTGAACATCTTGACCTTATTCTTCTGCACATCGATCACAGACTTGTCAATAAACGGGAAGCCGAATATATACCCTGTAGCCAGTATGACAACGTCTATATTATCTTCCACCGTCCCGTCAACGAACTCCACGCCAGTCTTGGTAAACCTCTTAATGTCAGCCTTAATCTTCAAAAGGCCAGTCGCGATTCTATTGGGCATGTCATCGTTTACTGTGGGATGTTGGGAGAAGATCCCGTGCTTTGGTTTGAGGGAATACAGCTCGTGGTTGAAGCGTTTGTTGAGCTGTTTCTGGGCTCTGTCTGCCCTGTACTTTGAAGGGAGGGAGTGGTTGATGAAATTATTGAATCTTGTTCGGCCGGTGAAGTCCAGTGGCAGACCGTTTTCTGAAATTCTGTTCATCACCCAGGCCCCGCGTCTAGTACTCAAGAACACCTGGGTAAACAAGTGTCAGTTGGTCACACAAAAATAGTTAACTCAAAAGTGAGGTGATATGGGGTTTAACGTCGCGTTCAAAAATTGTACTAGCTCGGACTAATGTCGGTTTTATAGTGCTAGCCCACTGAGGAGCCATACCGCAGTTTAACATGAATACCCCACTCAGACACAGTATACTGACTCCGAGCCGACCTGTCTTTGCTTTATCTCCTCAATACCGAGTACCAGGCAGGGTAACAACAAGTCACATCTGTTTTAGGTGTTTAAAGACGACGGATTCATTCCACGTCACCCACTCACCTGCCCCACCCTGCTCAGCTCCACAGCTGCGTCCCCGCCTGAGTTGCCGACCCCGACAACCACCACCCTCTTCCCGGTGTACCCGGTCCAGTCCTTGTAGTCGTGAGAGTGAAGGATCTTCCCCTGGAAGTCATCTTGACCTGTAAAGTCCGGCACGTTCTTGCTGGCGTGATGACCGGTGCACACCATCACCGCGTCAAACACCTGCGTCTCCTCACTTCCGGTCTTGTGATCTCTGACCTGCAGATCCCATTTTCCGGTCTGCTCGTAGTCACGTGACTTCTTCACGGACAGGATCTCTTTGTTGTATTGGATGTGTTTTCTCAGGTTGAAGGCATCTGCGTACATCTTGAAGTACTGCCATACCTGTGCAACAGAGAATATCCAATGTCACGCCCGCTTCATCTTTGTTTTCATTACGGGAGTGAGTGAATCACGTTTTACGCCATCTTCCCGAGGCAAGGGCGTTAACTGACTATAAAAGTCCAGTTTCCACGTTTGCCGAACAAGGCTGGAATTCCGGAGTTACATTTTTGATGGGCTAAGGAGTCTGTGCATAGTCCAATCAAAATCGCGTAAAGAACTAGACATCCGATTCGAAAACAACATGGATTTTAACGCGCAGATATCGGTCGACTCAGGATTTGCAAGGAATGTGTACCGCCAACTTGGCGTCGACAGATATTTTTCAAATCTTTTCATGTTTTTTATCTAGGTGCTCAATGGAAGAACAATGAAGAACGAGCCGTGGTTTATTTCACGAAAAAAGATTGTTCTATCATGACGTCATTTTTTTTAGATTCGAACATGTACTCGCCACTTGATGACGTCGTATATTGGACGACGTTATTTTTGTGAGGGAAGTGCCTAACAAGTTGTTCCCCATAGATGTAGCTGGGATAAGTAGATAAAGGCAGTGTCCGAACGATCGCATCCAAAAGTGGGAGAGATAAGTCAATCGGTAGCAGGAGAAAAGGTACAGATAATCGACGTGAGGATTGTGAGAATATGCGGGAAATACCAAACCTAACCCACCTGTTCGTAAATGGACTTGTCCGACATTTCCTATTTAGGGAGTCATCATTATTAATATTTGGGTGTACATTTTATCAACATCCTTAAAGAGGCAGTACATCATGTTGATATCTTATATAAGAAATAAACGACTCGTGGTCGTTGTTTATCATACAACCATATGGTCTTCCTGCAGTGTTTTATTGTACGGTAAACAACTCCTACTCGTCGTTTATATCTTAAATAGATCTTGATTATCGATGAGATCGTCTTGACAGGGCGCCGCCATTTTGTAATGCAAATGCATGTGACACGATAGGTGGAATCTGATTGGTCAGTTGAAGGGACATAGAAGGGGCATAACTCATAATTGCCACTGGTGGCGTTACGATCGAGCCCGGAAATTAGGGTGAAAACTAGACTTCAATAGTCACTTAACGCCCTTGCCTCGGGAAGATGGTTGTACGCCAGTCTTTCACTATAGTTGGTTTGTTGTTTAACGCCGCACTCTTTACGACCTGGTGAGAGGTTGACAACACGTACATGAACGAGCTCCGTCGAATTTACTGATTGAGCTGTTAAACTCCTAACAAAACCTCGTAAGTCACCGTGGTAATTACGAAGAATATCGGCTGCGATTTTGAGACGTATGGAGGACGTGTTGGATGTTTTTTTCTGGCGACGTATCAGGCATTTATGAGTGACAGGGCAAGACGACGGTCAGTCATGCGTGCCGCCATGTTGAACATGCCGCGAGGCTCAAGCCTGGTACTGAGAACAAGAGTCTTAGTGTGCGTCTCATTGCTTATTATATTGAGCAATGATGTTGAGAGCAACCCAGGCCCCGGCTCAGGACGAACTACAAGACAAGCTACATTGGAAGCGAGTTTGAAAGAAGTGATGGCTGAAATACAAGATATGATGAGAGACATGTCAACTAATTTCGAGAAAATGAACACTATGATAACTCAAGTAGAGAAAGTGGTACAGATTCTAACCGATGAAAATAGTGACGGGACCAACTTTCTAACTTAACTCGTAAAGTGGACATGCTGGATAGCCAGCAGAGAAAGAACAATTTCATTGTTTATAACGTCGAGGAGACATTTAGAGAGTTAACAGAAGAGACAGAAAATAAACTGCTTGGTGTGATTGTTGATAAAATGGAAATACATGAAGAAATAATATTTGATAGAGTGAGTCGGCTACCAACTAAATCAAATGGACCAAGGCCCATTCTAGCTACGTTCAGGACTCCAAAACAGAAAGCCACTATTATTAGCAAAAAGTATTAAGTACAAAAACTGAAAAGTCATAACATAAGGATCTCCCACGATTATACAGATGCAGTGAGACGTACTAGACAAACCATCAAGCCCCTCTTGGAGGAAGCGAGGGAATAAGGCAAGTTTTCTATTTTGAAACATGACAAATTTCAGATTGACAATAAACTCTACAAGCTAGATGCGACTGATGTGGTCAACCCGGTACTTACATCTGTGAGAACTTTTAAACCTAGAAATCCAGAGTCGACGGGAGCACAGGGAAAATAACAAGTAGGTCAACGCCCTAGCAATACTAATGACACAACTGATATTAACTGTACAATGTGGAATATTGAAGGTTTAAAGAAGAAACTGGAAATACCCTTATTTATCGACTTTGTCATCTCTTCTGATGTCATAGGACTTGTGGAAACTTGGGCAGGTCAGAATGATCTATTTAGTCTTCCTGCATGGAAACACACAATACAGCAAAACCAGACCAAAACCCGTTGGTGCTTTTAGAAACTCTGGAGGACTTTTGATGATGATAAAAGACAAGCTTGCATCATCTTGGGATTCACATACAAACTGCAGCACAACAGATGATATCATGTGTGTAAAGGTGAAGGATACTACAAACGACATCCCTCAGTTATTGGCTCTAGTATATTATACACCAGTCAATTCAAGTGTACATTCAGCAGAACCTGTGTTGGACTTGTTGGACAGTGACATCACACAAACAAACAGATCATCCTGGTTGTCATATCATTGTAATGGGAGATCTGAACTCCAGGACAGGGAATGGTGCTTGCCATGGTTGTATCGATAATTATGACATTTCCTATTTACCTATAGATGATGACCTTCACTATATCGAAGATTGTGAGTTCATTCCACGTGTCTCACAAGATTGCACAGTAAATAAGCGATGTCTTAAATTATTGTATTTGTGCAAAACAACTGGTTTGCGAATCTGCAATGGTAGGCTTGGTGACGACGCAGGATGTGGAAAGATAACATGTATAGCTAACGACGGTAAGAGTGTAGTCAACTACGTTATGGCTACAGAACATTCCTTTCCATGCTTTACATCGTTTACAGTCTGTGATCAAGTAGAATCTCCACATTCGCCACTTTCTTTTTCTCTCCAAAGAAATGTTACATATACCAATACATATGAACATTTGTCACCAAAACAACGATTCATATGGAAAGACGACTTCAAAGATGAATACACTAATAAATGGACTAATCTACCTGCTTCAGTTCTACAGGATTTCTATTTCCAGCTGACTCAGCAAAACATTGATAACGCGGCTTCAATGTTTTCAAACATGATGACAACCTGTGCAAGCACCTGCGGCAGAATATTTACAACTCGTGCGAACAACAATAGATCAAGAGGAGGCAAGTGGTATGACCAGGAATGTCGGGAAGCACGTGCAACCACTCGTCGGTGTCTTCGTGCATTCCATTCCAGTAACAGTAAATTTGTCAGACAGCAATACACATCAGCTCGAAAATATTATAAAGACTTATGTATGGTGAAAATGGATGATGCATTGAAAATATTTGTTGACAAATTAAAAGTAGCCTTCTGTGAACACGACAGTAAACAGTTATGGTCCATGCTTTCGTGTACCCCTGACCTTGAAACAAGCTCCATCACACCCAAGGACTGGATATGTCACTTTGACACTCTATTTGGAGGCATGGGAGATATTGATGACTATATTGATTTCTATACAACTATCGACGATTTTGTAAATACATTATCCGATGAACATATCAATTATTCGGTTGATGAATATTCATTTATGGATTCTGATATAGCTGAACCTGAACTGTTGGAAGTCATCCATGATATGAAATCTGGAAAATCACCTGGATATTGTGGTTTGACAATCGATTTTTTCAAATACATACCCCCACCCTGTATCGAAATGTTATTAAAACTATATAATGTTGTCCTGCGGACGGGAATTTATCCCGACCAGGGTACTTTGACTGTTATCTTGCCTATTTATAAGAAAGGACGATCCAATGATCCAGGAAACTATAGACCTATCACATTACTGGAAGTTGCAGGGAAAATATTTGCAAAACGTATCTGCTCTAGATTAACATTATGGGCTGATATTGAGGATAAATTAATAAACGAACAGGCGGGTTTTCGGAAAGGATTTCAGACCTCAGATAATATATTTATTTTAAATAGTATAATCTAAAAGTATTTATCTCAGAAACGAGGTCGTTTCTATTGTGCTTTTATAGATTTAAAGGCTGCATTTGACTCTGTTTACAGAAATGGCTTATTGTATAAACTTTGGCATGGTGGGATTAAAGGTGACTCTATACAGGTTTGTAGGTTAACAAAAAATATGTACGAACACGTTAAAGCTCGTATTTCAATGGATGCTGGCTATACAAACTTTTTCATATGTAAATATGGATTGAGGCAGGAATATCAAATGTCACCTTTTCGTGTTCTTTTTTTATCAATGATATTGTAGACTTTTTGAGTTCTGATGGACAAAGGAATTACCATGGACCAATTAGAGTTGTTTATATTGCTGTTTGCTGACGACATTGTCATGTTTGATTTCACTCCAGTTGGCCTACAAAAGCGTTTAGATAAATTTGCTATTTATTGTAACAAATGGAAATTGATGGTTAATATTGATAAAAGTAAAATCATTGTTTTTAAAAATGGTGGACCATTGCAGTGATATGAAAAATTTCGCTTTAACACAAATTATCTTGAAATAGTATCTAGCTATAAATATCTGGGTGTTCATTTTTCCTCATCTGCCTCATGGTACTTAACTCAAAACACATAAGCGCAACAAGCTTGGAAAGTTATCCAATGTAAATCTTTAGTGTTTCAAAAACTTCCTATAAGTATACAGCTTCGTGTCTTTGATATTAAAATCATGCCAATCTTATTATATGGATCTAAGGTATGGGGTTTCCACCTACCCCAGATGTTGATATAATTCATGACAGGTTTTGTAAATTAGTATTGGGTCTTAAACGTCAAACCCCGAATAAAGCTGCGAGAGGGGAGGTTGGGCGATTTTCTGTGAAGTTTTCTCAATATAAGAAAATAGTCACTTATTGGTTGCGATTGCTGAGCCGAAAATCAAATAGTATTCTTAAGCATGCGTACCACTTCGAGTTCAGTAAGGTCGAAATGGGGAAAAATGCTGGGCTTATGATGTTAAAAACTTGTTATATAAGTATGGTTTTGGAGAAGTTTGGCTCCTTCAAGGGGTTGGCTCTGTTGATTGATTTATTGACCAATTTGTAAAACACTGTAAAGATATTGATGTTCAGATATGGAATGATAATATTACATCTTCTCCAAAGTTAGACTTTTGCAGACATGTTAATATAGAATATGGTTTGGAAGCTTATATTTTTTGTACTCACAATATGACCTATCTTAAAGCTTTAGCTAAATTTAGATGCTCTAGTCATACGTTAATGATAGAAATAGGTCGACAGTACAATATTAACAGAAATTTAAGATTTTGTCCATTTTGCATAGTCTTAATAGTAGAATCAGAACACCATTTCTGCCTTCAATGTCCATTCTATGCAGATTTAAGAGACAGCATTTTACCAAAGTATTATTGTGTCCATCCAAACCAGCGAAAACTTAAAATGCTATTCTCAAGCTCGATATATAATTCCTTAGCACTTAAGAACGCAACAGATATTTTAAAGATGTCATTAAGTATCAGCTCGATATATAATTCCTTAGCACTTAAGAACGCAACAGATATTTTAAAGATGTTATTAAGTATCCTAAGTAGTATTACTGTCCACTGTTATACATTATAAGGCAAATATGTTGGCGCTCTCTCAAATACATCTGTGAGTGTGTACATACATGTATAATTGCCGGTGGCCTCATTACGGAATAAACAACATCAGTAACATAGTCGCCTTTTACGGCAAGCATGGGTTCCTGAAGACCTGTTCATAGTATTTATTTTTGCATGCCATTGTGTATAACTTACTATTTTAAAGTTTATGTGCTACATGTATTGTTTAGTGAGTTTATCTATGGGTACCCCTGTTAAATGTCGAGCGATATATATAGATTTCACGAAATGACTCTAACATAATGGTGGCCGTTTAATTGTTACGTGATATACTGTACCAACTCTACACAAGCTGTGAATACATGACTAGAATTGAACTCGCTGATTTAAATATTGCATGGTTAATAGGTCATAAAGCTGAGGCCCATGTCGAAAACGCTGACCTGTACGATGATTCAGCGTTTCATAAGAGTTTGCTGTGTAATGTGGGCTGGCGAATGTGAGAGGATTGTACATCATCGATGTAATAATAATAATAATAATAATAATAATAGGACATTTACATTGCGCATATTTCCACACCACTCAGGGGCATGCTCAAAGCGCTATTATCATCCTGGTCACTGGATCACTGTGCACTCAAGAATCATTCTCAGCTCCCTGGGGAGTGTACAAACCAAGCTGCCTGTTAGGCGCAAGAATGTTAACATCCATTCACTGCTGGGTAAACAGAGGCGCATTTCGAACAAAGTCAGTTTCAGTTTCAAAGTTTCAGGAGCCAAGCTGCCGAAACGCGGTCACCCATCCAAGGACTCTCCATGACCGACGTTGCTCAACTTTACCTGATTTGTGACCAGTGCGCTGTGCCATCATTAATTTATTCATTAATTAACATTGCATTTTCATACATGAAACCCAAAATGTGCCCTACCACAAGATAACATCGGTCTTTCGTCTTTATGAAATACATAAATATAACCAAAAACACCCAAATTCAATTCAAATGTTCCAATCCTATCCATTCATGCGTATCGATATCCCATTAAACTGAATTCATATATGCAACATGTTGTCACAAAATATGTAACCCTAATAGTTCCTCCTTGAGGAAACAAGCGCCAGGTCAATCCTTTCCAGGCTTGGACTTTACCTGCGTGTTGTGCATGTAATTGGGGAACTCTTTGGGTATAGGAAAGTCGCTGTAACACATCATCTCCTTGCTGGTGTTGATGACAGTCGACTTCATCACGCACCCCTGATCCTCGCGGGCTTTTTCCGTAAAATTCCACAATCCCCCGAGCTCGTCAGTTCGCTCAAAACAAAACGGCTCCAGCTTTTCGTCAACACAACATTTGATGGCAGTGAGACCGCTACACCCGGCTCCAATGATCGCGACACGCTTCGCCATTTTGAATCTTACCAAGGTTGTGGCTTGTTTTGAAGGACCAAACTAAATTGGCGAGGGCCGAACCAGCCTCATTACGTAATACCAAAAACATGCGTTGTTGGTCTCTCAGGGAAACACAAGAAAACATTTCATGCGATGCATTAACACGGCGGCAAACACTTGTTCGTCAAATAATATTTACAATGAAATAATTTCCAAAAATATTTAATCAACACAGGCATGGTTTAAACAATATTGGTTTCAATTTATTTCCTGTTTGACGTTTTTGATTGCTATGCGATTACCCCCCTTACGTAATGAATTTAAGACGCAATTCCCTTTGCGATGAATGCAGTGGTGGCACATGGTCCTGTACACAACGCACAGGCAATAAATCAGGTGAGGTGAGTGAGTGAGTGAGTTGGGTTTAACGCCGCTTTGAACAGTATTCCGGTTATATCGCGGCATGTCAGCTTAATGTGGGAGGAAAGCCCGAAGTGACGCAGGTCTCAGACGTTTACCACTTCGGTGAAACCTACGAGCACGGGTATAGTGCTGACAAACTTAGGAACTTAATCGGGGCGAACCGGCATTCGAACCACAATCATAGGTTTCTGGCGTGCCCAAGGGACGCAACTCTGCACAGCGAATCGCGGCGCCTTAGACGACTGGGCCACCCGTGCCCCCTCAGGTGAGGGGAAGCAACGTCGGTCGCGGAGAGTCCTGGGATGTGTTCGGCAGTGTTCGGCAGTTGGCTCCTGAGAGTTTCTAGGGCTTCGGTCCTGCCCCCACAATGAAGCACATGTAACAAATGTGGCGTCTCCTAGGTCAAGTGACTTTATTCGAAATGCGCCTCTGTTCACCCAGCAGTAAATGGGTACCCGGAGTAAGTGAGGATAAGAATTTATGGATGAACAACTTCTTTATTACAATTAAGAGCGACGTTTCGGTGTAGGTTCTAACACCGTTATCAAGCACCTACACCGAAACGTCGCTCTTAATTGTAATAAAGAAGTTGTTCATCCATAAATTCTTATCCTTACTTAGTACTCCAACTTCTAAATGCCTATCAAAGAAGGATACCCGTAGGATGAGATGGTAATATGGTTGTTAACCTTCTAGCTCTTAACAGGCAGTTTGGGTTGTATAGTCCCCAGGGAGCTGAGAATGATTCTATTATTATTATTTATATTATTATTATGAAGCCGTCATATAGCTGGAATATTGGTGAGTGCGGCGTTAAACAAAAAACAAACAATATTATTATGATCCGTCACGATGGCTCTCTAATGAGCAGAAAACGCCTTGTTTCCGGTATAATTTAAGCAAAAAGCATTCCAGTACCCACACGCTCTCTCTCTCTCTCTCTCTCTCTCTCTCTCTCTCTCTCTCTCTCTCTCATTAGTGCGTTAGACCCGTGAAGATCCGGGTTAGAATAGGTCTTCAGCAACCCATACTTGTCGTAAGAGGCGACTAACGGGATCGGGTGGTCAGGCTCGCTGACTTGGTTGATGCATGTCATCGTATCCCAACTGCGTACATCGATGCTCATGATGTCGATCACTGGATTGTCTAGTCCAGACTCGATTATGTACAGACCGCGTCATATAGCTGGAGTATTACTGAGTGCGGCGTTAAACAAACAAACATCATTGCGTTGAACTTTCTGACAAATGTGCATTTCAAATATAACTAAAACTGAACAACTAACAAAATATCGAGAATTTCCAGAACTACTGGACCAAATTTGAAATGTAATAAACAACAGTATAAACACCAAATAGAAATGCATGTACTTTCTATTCAATAACCTATGAGGCAACATTTCAACTGCATGTGTATACAGATTTGAACACATTATAATGATTCTTACGATGCAATGGTATGAGTTAGGAATGGTGCGGTTTTCGGTTGGTTCTGTTTGACGCAGTGCCTTCAGGCCACATTAAGGAAGCTATGGGAACGCTCGTAAAATCTCAGCAGTAGACCAAACATGAGACGTTACAAACAATTGGTTAAAAAAAATAAAAATGCATGTTCATTCTATTCAATTACCAATAGGTCCCACAGAAATGTAAGAAAATGTGGAATGTGGAATTAAAATAATTGCAATGGGGCCCGGCGGTGGATGTAGGGTGATACAGGTGTACAATCGTCAAAAACATGTTTAGTTATTGGACTCTTCTGATGCTGGCTTGTTTTTTCGTTATTCAAAAGTATAGAATAACAAAACAGCATTTGGACGACGGTACATCTCTATTAAGACAAACATGCTGTCAATTATTACACGAATTTCGGTGTATTTGACCATTTCACTGGAGTTGTTTAGTAAACAGCCTTTGAATAACGAATCCGCCGCTGAGAAAAACGAATAAGAACGAACACGCTGCTAACTTCAGCCTGCCTCGTTATAGCATGTTGATGATTCTGCTGCGTGATCATGATGTATTGTATCACACAATGTTTTATCGGGAAATATACCACTCTTCGTTCTTCATTTGGGTTTTTTGCGTTTTATCGCGTAGCTATTTCGTATATTTTGATATGGTAATGTGGAGTTATAGGTGATCGTGGGTTTATGTGATACTATCAACTTTGATAAAAGTGGCGCGCCATGTGTTTATTTGTGCACATCTGTGTTAACTTTATTACAACCCATGATTGCCGTAAAAAGCGACTATGCTTGTCGTAAGAGGCGACTAACGGTATGGGTTGGCCAGACTCGCTGACTTGGTTGATGCATGTCATCGTATCCCAATTGCGTAGATCGATGCTCATGATGTCAATCACTGGATTGTCTAGTCCAGACTCGATTATTTACAGACTGCCGTCATATAGCTGGAATATTGCTGAGTGCGGCGTTAAACAACAAACAAAAACCCAAAAGAAACTGTATTAACGTAATTGTTGTGTACAGTAGCTGTGTGCACTTAATTTTGGGGTACATCGATGTGTAAACTATATCAGTGAAAAAGGATGTGTAGAATTCCTTTACGTGTGTGCGTGTGTGTGTGTGTGTGTGTGTGTGCATGTGTGTGTGTGCATGTGTGTGTGTGCATGTGTGTGCGTGCGTGCGTGCGTGCGTGCGTGCGTGCGTGCGTGCGTGTGTGTGTGTGTGTGTGTGTGTGTGTGTGTGTGTGTGTGTGTGTGTGTGTGTTGTTGTTGTTGTTTTTTGTGTGTGTGACAAATCCCGATGAGGTAAGTATAGAGTTCAGCGTTAAAACAAGCAAGGCGTCGCCCTGGGTGAGCCATTAAAAGGATAGCGTTATATCATACCATTGGTATCTTAAAATCTAGTTTGAGTTGGCGCTATATCATTTGCTTTATTATATCACAAGCCTATTCTTTTTAAAAATCTAAACTTCATTGGAACTCCATGAATAACATCAATTCTATTGATACATCCCTTATTTGAAGCAGAAAGGAACTAATAAACAGAGCGCGACCTTGAAGTACTAGCGTACAACGGGCAACGTTACAAGAAGCAGTCATTACACTAAATAACAGAGATGAAGTGAGGTGAAATGGGGTTTAACGTCCAAGATTATTGCACTTATATAGCGACGTGCATGCACGTGTATGTGTGTGTGTGGCTGCTTGTACTAGTTCGGACTGATGCCGATTTATAGTGCTAGCTCACTGAGATACCATGCCGCAGTTTAACATGAATACCCCACTCAGACACAGTATACTGACTCCGACCCGACCAGTCCTTGTTTTAGCCCCTTAATGCCGAGCGCCAGACAGGGTAACAACAAGTACAATCTTTTAATGTCTTTTTGTATGACGCGGCCGGGATCGAACCCTGGACCTTCCGCTCTCCGGGCGGACGCTCCACCCCAAGACCACGGACTAAATAACAGAACAGAACATAGCTTTCTTTTCCATGACTCACCATCCAACTAGCTGACAAGGCATCAAATAACATGCTACTATCCATGTGAGCACTAAGCACATGGTCTTAGTCACATGTCAAATAATGCTACATAGAAGGCTGGTAGGTTGATGTTTCTGACTGAGGAAGAAATCTGCCCAAACCACTCATCAGCACTTTCAACGTTCGACTTGAAGACACGTTCATACCTCTTCCGCGCTGGATTTCATATCATGTCTTACTATTTACATGTACACACTATGATATTATAGACTATCCTATCAAAATTTGAGTAGTATATGAATTAACGGCTTTAATAGGTTTCAGAACTCGCTGAAGGTTTGTATCGATCGATATTGAACTATATAGGTAAAATAAGTAACAATTGTTTTCCATACACATACAGACAGGGAGTGAGTTTATGATAAGACCTTACTGAGATAAGATCGTTCCCCCATCTGGCAGCTGCTACATTTGGAACAATGTCTTTATCATGAGCAATTGTCTGAACAATATAGCTTATTTAATCAATAAATTATCGAAGTTGAGCAATGACAAGTTGGAAAACAGACTCACGTTGGGTATGCGTGTAACTATCTCGGAGGTTCACAATTAAATAACGTTATGTGAAGTTAACAGGATTAAACAATGCCAGATACCGATGATTTTCGTCTCTCAGATCCTAAAGTATTTGTTACAAAATCAGTGGGAACAAATACAAACATTTGGATGACTTTGGATGAAAGAATGAGTTTATTCCAAATCTGTTTCCTCATTTTCAGTTTGCCCATTCTACCAGTGACAACATCACGCATTGATTTAACTCATTCTTCCAGTGACAACATCACGCATTGATTTAACTCATTCTTCCAGTGACAACATAACGCATTGATTTAACTCATTCTTCCAGTGACAACATCACGCATTGATTTAACTCATTCTACCAGTGACAACATCACGCATTGATTTAACCCATTCTACCAGTGACAACATCGCGCATTGATTTAACCCATTCTACCAATGACAACATCACGCATTGATTTTACTCATTCTTCCAGTGACAACATCACGCATTGATTTAACTCATTCTACCAGTGACAACATCACGCATTGATTTAACTCATTCCTACAGTGACAACATCACGCACTGATTTAACT